CTCACGGCTGTACTTATAAACGCCAGTACTATAAACGTAAGAACCACTGACGGGCCGTGAGGTAGGGGTAAACTTTTGAATGGGAAGGATTTGTGCAACGCCACTTGGCAGAAAGGTGGTCCAGAATGTTTGCCAGAGCATGGGCTACTTTAAATTTGGCGGCACAGCCTTTATTGTTATTTTGCAGACGATTTTCGTGTCGACTGTGAGCTGTCCCGCCATTGGGGGCTAAGCAGAAGGACGGGGGCAAAGCAGAATTGCGCCGGGGGCGTAGAGGAACGACGGGGGCGAAGCAGATTTTTTGCGGGGGCGAAGCAGAACGGGGCGGGGGCGAAGCAGAACGGCGGGGGCGAAGAGGAAGGAGTTTCATGGGGGTGTCTAGCCAAGGATTACCGTAGTAATGATACAAGCATGCAAAATAGGTTTGTAATAAAATTTTTTTGTTTTATAACTACTTTACTGCTACCGGGTAGCGTTATTGATATCTATATAGTTTCAGAGAGATATTTTGCCAGTTACAATCCATTTGATTACGATATTCTTCCCTTAGTTCTATATATGAAAGACTTAGGCTTGTAATAGTTGAATATGTAGAATGAGTCAAATTACAGACAGGCCTTGCAGTGTTTGAATATCTTCTAGTTGCAGTTGTACATGCATATATATGTATCTACATTTGGTTGTTCTTTGAAGTCATTTACGGTTCAAGTAAAGTTAGTTTTGGAAGTTGAATACAAATGTACTAAATCTAGGAAGTGAGACTTGTATTAAAAATACTTTTATTTAAATTGGGATGTTTCCTTGATGGTATAATCTGCCATTCCTAATTTTTGTTCTACCCAAATACAGAACTACACTACACAGTGCAACACAAACAAAATTCAGAGGTTTCAGACTTCTAGGAAGTACATGTACATGTATTTTGGGTTTTTGTGAGCATCAAATTCACCCCATTTCCTGTGTCTGTCATTTTGACCTTTTTTCATTCTGTCATTCTTCCCCCCTCCATTGCTTTCCCACCCACTCAGTTTACCCTATTTCCAGTTTCAGGCCTTTTCACCTGTCATGTTGCCTGTCAATCTTCCCCCACCCATGTGCGCTCAACCTACTTTCTCCGGACAAAGATACAAACCCACAGTTTGACCACCCAAAACAATACTTCCATACCAGTAAAGGCAATGGGACCTTTAGTTGGCTTTACCTACCACTACTACATTTGAGATAAGTTTTACAGACATACAGTTCAAGGTTTGACAGGTATGTGGGAGTCACTCCTGGAACTTTCCTTTGTAATTTGCACCTTAATATGCTCTCACTCCCACTACAGGCTTTAGGCCACACCAATTTAATTTGTTGGTTCTCGGATTTTTTCAGAAAAAATGTGAAGCGACAGGGCGAAAAAAATAAAAATAAAAACAGGTCTAGGCATCCTATTATAAGCTTAAATGCTACGAAATGAGACATGAAGTCAACACAAAAGGCTGGGTTAAAATTTAAACATTTAATTTTTAACTTTTCATCAAACCACTGCAATGATGGATGGGAAAACTGTAACAACTAGGAAGAAAAGGACTTTCCTCAACTGTTGGGGGCAAAACATGAGCATTTTTCAGTTGATTCGGAACCAGAATCATATTTTTTTTTTTTTTTTTTTGCAAATCAGAAAAAAACGAAGAGGCGAATCCGAGAACCAACAAATTAAATTGGTGTGGCCTTATGACAAAGAAAGTGCCAACTGACTTGGACGCTATCGTGGTGGGCAGTGGGATTGGAGGGCTGTGTACCGCCGCACTCCTGGCCAAGACGGGAAAGAAAGTCCTTGTACTGGAACAGCATGATCAAGCCGGGGGCTGCTGTCACACTTATGTGGACAAGGGCTTTGAGTTCGACGTTGGTGAGTGTTGTCTTGAAAGTTCATTGGTGTGGGTAGTAGTCCTTATGTTTTTTTTTCCAAATAATCTTTATTGAATTTTCAAAGAATAAAGACAAAGGACATGTTCACATACAAGAAAATAAATACCCAGAGACATTTGCAAACAATACATCAGTCTAACAATTTACCATATAGTGGACCCCATTTCAACATATGTTTATCCATTTTCCCACAGTTTTGTGCTATCACATATTCTAGTCTATGATAGTATTTAACATAACATGTAAAGCCCTTAATCGTGACCAACTTAGTAGTCCTTATGTTTAAGTTTGCACCATAATTTTTAACACAAGAAATTGGACTTAGCCAAATTCTGACCGTACAACTCCAGTCTGCAGTTACAGCATTCACCCCACCCATGTCCTGTGTCACTACTGTAGTACACAGACATATACACACACACATGCAAAACGTACACACACACATACACTTACACATACAAAATGTACTTACACATTTACATACGCATACATGCACACCCATATGCACACATACACACATGCACACACTATTTAACCACAGAGAACCACACACACAAAGACTAACTGTGCCACGTGTTTGTACCAGGTATCCACTACACGGGTAAACAGAACAGTGTTCGGACATGGCCGCAGGTCCTGCAGGGCGGGACGGTGAACCAGGCACTGATACAGCAGATCACCGAGGGTCAGCTGCAGTGGACCGAGCTGGACAAGAGCTTCGACATCGTCACCATCCAACATGACGAGAAGGTAACGAAGATAAGATCATTTTTATAACAATGGTTTTTATGTACATGTACCCAGGTACTTGTAGAAAAGTGTTACGGATTATCATACTTCCATGAAAAACTCCACTTATGTCTCAATTTGCCCTTGTCAGCAGGGCTTAGCCTCACCAGGCTTCAGGAAGTGGCTGGAAAGAGTAGAAATTGGCTAAATAGACAGATGATATGCTAGGGGAGTTGGTCTGTGCCAAGAGAACAGTTTGCCAGACCCAGGAGCGGACTAACACATTTGTCTTTTTTGCCATGTTTTTTGTACCTTTCCCTAATCCAGAAAATTAGAGGTGCCAATCAAGTCCAGCAGGTCAGAGCATCACAAAACCCTGCTGGAACACTTCCCTACAGAAGGAAAGGCTATCGATGAGTTCTTCGACTATGTGACGTAAGTCTCTGTTTACCTTTACACAAGGAAAACGATCTTCACTCTTTTTAAGATGTACATGTTTGTAAGTCTTATATCCTTCTTTCCTACAAACAAATCATTACTACCTGATACACCTTTACATCTTATCTGAGAGGACCATCTCTTAGACCAAAAGCTAGGTAATCTCACCCCTGGTCAAGTGAGGCCTGCTACTACTACATGTAGTGCTAGAGATTCGAACCCAGAACCTTCAGTCAACAACCCAGCAACCCTCTTTCTCTCAGGTTTACACAGGAACCCTGAGTGGCTTCATCCTGATGAAGACCCTTCCACTCTGGCTGGTTAAGCTGTTCATCAGGACAGGGCTCTTCAGCAGGCTGACGAGTTTCTTCCACTACATGTCACGGAGCACCAGGGAGGTCATGGACAGTTTCACAGACAACAAAGACCTTAAGGCGGTTTTGTCTTACAACTACGGAGACTTCGGTAGGGGCTTCCAGACTTTTTTTACCTCTGTGTATGGGGGGTTGTTTTCGGTGTGTTTGTCTGTTTGCTTGTGTGTCCATAGTTATTTGAATACATTAGAGTCCCAGGAAAAGAGGGCGGAAATGGCATAACCGCGGACTGAAAGAAAGGTGGAAATGGTCTCCCCACGGGCTGGGAGGAATTAAGTGGAGAAACTAAGACACTTGAGGATTGCATGTAGGCAACAATTGATTACGCACAGAACTTAGTAAGAAATTCAGAATAATGAAATTTGATAAAGGATACTTCGCGGAGGTTTGAAATCTCCAATTTCTTGTTTCTAGTTTGACATTGTTGTAGTTTGACATGGATCAAACCTATGCATGATTACAGAAAATATGAAATGCAAGTTCTGATAGCCAAACTTTCCAGTTTAAGTTCAGTATTGCATATTTATTGTCAAATCAGAACTTCAACTCTAAGACTGTATAGACACTGTAATCCATCAAGTGTGATGTTTGCATAGTTGAAGTGTTATTAGTATTGGAGGCAATAACAATAACAGTCTCCCTGTTGGAAGTGGATGGCTGAATTTTCTTAGGAAGTTCTACCTAGTGTGTTTACTTGTTGTGATGGTTACTGAGTTACATTTTGTAGTACTGTGATGGTATATCATGTCAACTGGGTTAGTGGAAAAAACAGTCCAGTCCAGCAGAATAACTGGTCCATCCAGGTAATTGGTTGGTACTTCATCTACTTGGTAGCAAGTGGGATGTAATACTGTCAACAATATTTGTGATCTTTTGTATCTAAATTGATATCTAAGATAACTATTACTAGTTCCCACTGTCATTCATGAAGCGTGACCAATGTAGATGCTTCTGAACAGTGGTGATATAATTTGCCAGGTTGTAGTTTATTTGTGACCCCTCAACCACACTTGTAGTACATGTAGTTAGCATATCATGGCATACTGAGTCCTGTAATCAGAAAGTTCAGTTCCTTTTTTTGTATCACATGTATTCAGAAGGACAGCGTTGACTCCAGAAGTGCCCGATACTCTTGAAGGAAGACTGACTCCTCCTCCAGGGTCAAGTCTAAGTAGTCTTCCTGGTCTGCCAGGTCTGAGGCAAGTTCCTCGTAGGCTTCCTTCTCTCTCTGTAGCTCCTCTGGAGATTTAGCCGGGGAGGCGTCTGGAGTGGGAAACAAGGACACAAGAACTGTTAACAGCCCATATTAAGTGACAAGATAATGAACAGAAACAAAATCTCTTGATAAGTGAAGTTTGGCTTTTAAAAATTGTTACAGCAAGTTTGGAAATCTCAGTAGCACACCAAACTAGTAACATTTGCAAAGCAAATCCATAATGATTACCTTTGGACATGGTCTGCTCTGTTAATTCTTATTTAAACACATTCACATATATGTACTAGCAGAGCAGGCCATGAAATTCCAACATTATGTAACCAAACACCAGTCACCAAATCATGTCATTGCTTATGTCATAGGTCACTGTTTGGAGAAGAAGAGGAAGAAATTGAGCAAAAACAATATGTTTTCCTTCGGTAAACATAATAATGATGTACCTGATGATGAAGATGAGGAGGAGGGAGTGGTGGAAGATGAGGACGTGGAAGAGCCGGAGGATGCTGAGCTGCTGCTGCTTGCAGAAGAGACCTCTGGCAGAACTCCTCCGCTCTGCAGCAGCATGTCGATGGCTCTCTGTGCCACCCCCTGGCAGGACTGCAGCGCCCGTCTCGACATCTCTGGGTCAAACCCAAGGGACACCAACTGAAGAGGCAAAAAGGACGCAAAGAAAATCTAATCTGTGGGCAAAAACATTGGAAAATGCTAAAATTTGGAGTACAGACTGTAAAAAAATCCTGTTGTATATGCAATGTAGTTTATATTTGGGATATATAGAAGGCACGTTGAATGTGCAACACCAATGCCTCTTGTACACTTTCCTTTGAGGCCTCCCTTTTTTGTTGTTGTTGTGTCAATAAAGAATCTTAAAGATCGTGTATGAAATATTTCAGAATTCTATATTTCAGAAACAATTTTGGTGTATAACCCTAGATTTTCTGTGGTCAGCAGATCTATATATTACATGTACATGACATTATATGATAAACATTAATCTATTACTTACCTGAGCCAACATTTCATCAGTAATAGACACAGGACTGGGGTCAGGGTCAGGCAGGGTCAGAAGCTCTGGCTGGTCCTGTAGAACCTTTGGAGAAGGAAACATGAATTTTTGTCACAACATTCTGATAAGAATGAACAGTTATACATACAATTAGCCACAATGAGCAAGACTACAAGAGGTAAAATACTAGCAATCTAGTAGTACTGCAGACACCAAAAGGTTCGGTCAACGGCTCACATCTTAAAACTTGCAATGTCAAAAAATTATACAATGTACATTTCAATATGTGATAACCCTCGTTGTTTTTGTGTTACTGGACTTCCCAAATTTGCTCATCTGTACTCTGTACTGAACAAATGAATTTGTCTGCCCTATGCTCACCTGTATTGCCTGTTGGATGTTGTTGTTTGTCTGTTGTAGAGCTGCTACAGCTCCTCCCCTGGGAAAACCCATGTTCACCAGGGCATCGTACAGGTCCACCTTCACCCAGTCACCACTGGCCGTCTTCCCCAGCTTCCTCGCTAGCTTCTTCTGTCTTCTCTCCTCACGCTCTTTCTTCTTAATCTCTCTTCTTTCCTGGGAATGGACAGAGACAATAGATATTTATTGACTATTTTACATTTATCTAAAAGAAAAGATGCAAAACTGATTTTATTCACTATTCACACTGTGACACACACACGGTGACACACACGGTGACACACACACACACACACACAAGGAAACACACACACACACTGTGACATTCACATGTATAAACACACACATGCCACATACAAACATGACCTCCTCCAAAGCAGAGGTAACAGCTAACACTCCTCACCTCTTGTTTCTGCATGATATGTGTGACTGCAGCCTGTACATTGTTGCTGCAGGCTCGCAGGCCCAGTCTGGCCTCTGCACTACTGAAGCCCATGGTCATCAGCTCCGTTAGCTTGGACTCATCAACTTGCAACTGTCGAAGGAATGCATCCGCCTGTGGAGCACAGAATGGATAAGTTAGTACATGTCAAAACTTGTTTTTTGGCTATGGAACTACATTAAATTTTGTATTGTTTTAGGTGGCCTTAAGCTGAGCTGTGGGTTTGTGTATCTGTTTGCCTAGATAGAACAGATTGACAGCACATGGGTGGGGAAAATTGACAGGCAGAATGACAGGAAGTTAAAGGTCTCATAATCTGGCCTGGAGCCAGTAGGTATTAGAGATAGACATGGGGGGAATTCAGGAAGCTGAGAACTGCATATTTACCAGAAGTCTGAAATCTCTTATTTCTTGTTATTCATTTAAGGCTTAGACTGGACCAAGATCACAAAATAATTATTACATTACCTTAGCCAGTTCTGCCACTGCCTGGTTCCTACGCCCCTGATGAAAGAACACCACGCCTTGCAGAAGGTGTAATCGTACAAACAGAGCCTTTTCTTGACCACTGCTTCCCTGCAAGTCAACAACATCAAACAAAGACGGTATGAAACACTGTAGAACAACTAAGCTGTGAATCAAACTCTGTAAACAAGTTGACTTATCTTTCAAAATTGTCAGTCTTTCAAGATTGCCATGTAAGCTTTAGAGAAGTCTTTGGAAATTTTTAAGGAACACAAACTTATTAACTTATAATTGTGTCTTTCAAGATTGCTATCTAAGCTCTTATTGAAGTTTCTATGGAAGTTTTAAGAAAATTTGTGAGGAAGGTTGTACTCACCTTCACAGTTGTGAGTCTCTCCAGGTTGTTGCCGTAGCTCTTGTGGAACAGTTGTTCACACTTCTGTAGCCTGTTCTCTGCGTCAGGCAGAGACGTGACGTTTTTCAGACACAGATAACACCACACGATGTCCAGACACAGGACAGCATAGTTATCCACCGCCTGAAGGATCTCTGATCTACACTGCCTGGAAATTTCAACCAAAAATTGATACAACACAGTAAAATTTTGTAACCTGGATACCATCCTGGTTAGTTTATGTCTGAATGTGATAGTTAGGTTGGTGGGTAGCGAGAATGTAAACTTTTGAGCAACTATTGGAGAGGAAATAAACTAACTAAGATGGTATCCAGGGTGAAAATTTTGTCAAGAAATGCAGTTAGAGATCATTGTAGTTACAATGTTTCAGTGGTACATGTTTAACTTAGAGGTCAGTGGTAGAGAATACATATTGGGGATTAATATGTGTACAGTTGCATTGTATAAAGTCTTACATCTCTAAATAACCAACATAAATAGATGGAGGGAACCCTTTCCAGTCAGTTAACCAAGCATAAGGCAACAAATTACATTGTCCATAATAGATTTGTTAAAATAGGCAGTACGCATATCAGTATAGCCGATATAACCGCCCTTCGGCGTAACACACCAGCTTCGCAGGCACGCGGCACAGAGGCAGCTAGCTATATCACACTGAACGACTTCTTACACTCAATCTTTGCACATTTAATTGCAGGAGTTGTTTAAAGCTTTCTATGTTGTCATAAAATGAGTGGAATGAAAATAGACTGACTGGAATTCTCGATCAGCCTCCAGCAGGAGCAGCAGAGCCTCTCCGTACTGTTTCCTCTTCAGCGCCGCCTTCCCTCGCTCGTTTAGTGCCATGGCAACCGTCAGCGCCCGCTTCTCCTCCCGCGGGATCTGGAGAGCCCGACCGGACTGGTCGGCGATTTGCAGCCCGTACTGGTGACCGTCATGGTCCATGTCATCATCTGATGACGGATACACACGCTTAGTTTGGGATTTTTTCTATTCTAGCTTCAATCTGATCCTCTGAGAACTTATCAACAAAATAGTTTGGTACCTGACTCTTACCTCATCTATCAGTTTAGACTATTGACTGTTCAGTGAAACTGGGATCAATATTGTACATGCTTGAATGTTAATTCCTATAATACCATGCCACAACAGGACTGTGTAATTTGGAGCCTATCAGAACTTTTGCTTAACTGAGATGTCCAACAAGGTGCCAGATTGTTCTGCAGGAGAGTGATCAGAAGAGTAGACTAGAGCTAGAATAGGATGGATTCCAGAGTAACAAAAAGTCATATGTCAATCAACTGTTTAAATGGGAAATACTCTGCAACAAAAAAAAAAAAACACTTAACAATGTTTGTCTGTAATGGCCCTAGACCATGCCACAAAGAGATATCATGGAATTGGCTTGCATGATGATTCAAGCTTTCATGAATACAGATTGATTCAAACGGACAAAAAAACAAAGAAACAACTTACCTCCAGCGAGTGAGTTGGCCAACAGCTCCGCACCCTCCCGCGCTCGTCTGACCTTTGACATCTGCTCCTCCCTCTGCTGGGCCTCAGCCTCACTCTCAGACAGACAGATGACCAGGACTTGAGCGTTGTTTGCGATGTGTTGAGATGACAGCGGTACATCTAGGTCCAAACACGAGGTGGAAGAAAAAACATTTAAAAAAAAAAGGTGCTTCTGGACTTCCATGATGGCTTGGGTGAAAGAGGAAGAGTGCCACCTTACATATAAGTCAAAAATATTTCAGAGAAGTTTTATCCACTTATTGACTTAATCTTAAGAAAAACACTGTATTTTGAGAAACTCGCATTAAGAAATAAAATGATCATTTGTAATATTAAAGATGCAAGTTGCTATCTCGGTCAAAGTGCTGATCCCAATCCCCCCTTAGCCTTGGCCAACGTTCAAGGGTTCCTAGCTAACCTAAGACCCCTTCAACAGTATAAGACTCACCATCTTTTATGACTCTGCCTACTGCAATGGGCTTCAGATGGTCTGCTGTGAGACCACACTTCTCAGACAAGCTGAAACAAAGTTAGTCATGATTGTTTGGATGAAAGTGATGACAAACAGGTCTGAACACCATTTGAAAGCAATCTGGTTTGAATTTAATTTAAGAAAACTAATTACTGAAGTTTAAAGTTAATTTGAGAAAAATAACCATTGAAGTTTAGCTACGAAAAAAAAGTTTCTTACAGTTTCTTGAAGTCCTTCCCCAATATCTGCAAAGTCGTCTCCACCTCAAAACTGCTGCATTTGAGGTTCCCCTGAAAACAAGGCATACTATTAACACTTACAATCTGTGTAGTATACTAGTAGTATTTAGTAAAGCTTTTTCTAAGAGAATGATACATAATTATAATATACTCCTATCATCAAAAACTTTCTTCAAAGCTTTTTCATTACAATGTCTACACCTCAGAGGGTCTAGGCACAAAAATTCTAAGCACAAAAACTTCTAAGTACATGTACAAAAAATCAATGTGAGCTCAGCCTGATACTATTGAATAGTTTGATTAGGTTAGTAAGTCACTGAATACAGACTTTTTTCACCAAAACATTGACTGAATAAACCTTGTGTTTGTGTAAATAGAGTCTCTTTATTGAGTCTGATACTCATTAAGAGAACAGGCCAATACTTCCTGCTGCCATACCTTCCCAGCCAGTTTGACCTTCAGCGTAGCGATGCCCGAGGTCTGGAACTTGCGCCTGGAAGCCAGCTTCCTCACGGCGTGAAGTCGTAGTTCCTCCATGTTGGCTGCCACCACATCTTGGGACAACCTCAACTCCTCCGAATACTTCAGTATCAAATTCTGGACAGGAGCATAGCAATTATTATGAGAGCATTGATGACAAAGTTTTGGCATCCATACTATTTAACCCCAAATTAATTAACCAACTATGTGCTTAGACTACCGGTACCTCCTCCCTTTACTCATACACGACTGTGTTGAAATAATGAAAAAAAAATTCTAACTGTACTGGAAATATCTAACCATCTAATAACTGGGGGTAATGCTAGATTTAGCATTCATAACAGCTCTAAAGTTGTACATTGTATTGGCTGCACCATAAGTCAAAAGAAAAAGGGTCTAAAGGCTGCAGTTTCCCTCTGTCCACACACCTGAGGTATCTGGTCAGCTGTGCCGTCCTCTCTGCTGTAGGGAGACTCCCACAGTTTGACCTTGTCTCTGTTCAGCACCTGCCTCAGCTGTCTCTGCACCTCCTCTGTCTGAAGGCTGCTCATTTTTCCACTACAAAACATTTCAATGGCCACAGGAGATCATGTAAAGAAGGACCCTCTCATTGTAGGAACATAGAGAAAACATATCTCAGATGAATCAGGATGATGATCTCAGATGTCTTAACACATGCAGGTTAAGTTCCAATAATGAATTCAATGACTAATATAAAAAAAAGATTTATTCATAATTTTTCAGCATATATTACATGTTTTCAATAGTATTATCTTGCACACAATTGTCATATATCTTTTTAAAATGATGTTAACATTCAAAGATTCCAAACATATACTGTTAAAAAACAATGTTCTAGTATCAACAAATTTTCTAGTACATGATACATACCAACAAATAAAAGCAATTCAAAGTTTGGACTTGCAATTGTAAAAACCTGGGAATTGCACTATTTAACTTTTGCTCAGGGTCTAGAATTGATTCTATACAAAACCTGTGGAACTGCTGGGTAATAAACTTTGATAATGAGTGATCTCAAGTCACTACATGGCAACACAGTGGTGTAATAGCAATTACAAGGAAGACATTCAACCTTCTAATTTAAATGTGTATAGGTATAACAGTAACATAATGAGTATGTAGATGTCTGCTAGTTGTTTTTTTCTGTGGCTCCGGTAAATCTATTCTACTGAAATAACATGTTGTACAGAGTGACTACAACATTGGTATATAAAAACATTTTAAATATAGTTCCAGTCTATATCTTGGCTTGAATCTCTTCAGTACAATCAAATTCTGTCCTTATGAAATTTCTGCTCTCACACATATGAATTAATTAATGCTCACAAAATTACCGATATGATACAATAAATAACAGTCAACATACATGTACACCTCCACAGTAAAACAATTTCGAGAAAAAGTTGGATTTGATGTTTGTTTGAGTTTCAAAAATTTTGCAATTGTTAGCAACAAATCAGCCATGAGCATAGCTGATATTAGCAGGGTGACTATACACCATAGTAGGCTGTGGCTCTCCTGATCCTTGTGCAAAGCACTGTTGATACACAACTGGAGTCCTAAAAACCTGTCCTGCCAAAAACTGTGGGTCCACAGGAATGGGGACCTCCTGGAAATACCAGTGTTGTAGCGCCTGTACGGCCGTTACACGCCGTGCGGGACTGTATGTCAGGAACCAGTTCAGCAGATGTAAGCCCAGCTCTGTCAGTGTCCATCCTAACCGTCGTCTCAGCCTGTTGTAGGGAAATTCCGGCAGAATGCATGTTTTTAAGAAAGGGAGCCGGGTGTACCCTGGCCATATCTTCTCGCTCGGCGTGCCGAGGTCGGAGAATATCTGGTGAAGTTGGTCGATCTCGGATTCACCATCCCAAAATGGTTTCCCAATCAGCAGCTCGGCAAAAACACACCCGACCGACCAAAGGTCGACTGGGGTGGAGTACGTCTCACTTCCCAGGAGGAGTTCAGGTGCACGGTACCACAACGTCACAACCACCGGGGACAGGTGCTTGTCTCCCTTCCTAAACGTCCTTGCCAAGCCAAAGTCTGTGACCTTGAGAATTCCGTTGAAATTGACAAGAAGATTTTCTGTCTTGATGTCTCGGTGTAGGATGGCGTTGTTGTGGAGATACTGGACTGCGTACAGAAGCTGCACCAGCAGACATTTTGTTTCGCTGACAGAAAATGGCCGCTGCATGTTATACATCAGTTGCTTCAAGTCTGTTTCAGCGTACTCCATCACTAGGTAAACTTTGTCAGCGTTGTTACCATACACCACTTCCCGTAAGGATATAACATTGATGTGTCTAGCCTTCAACATGATGTTAACTTCTCGTAGACCAGTAGAAGAGACACCTTGCGGCTGGTTTTCACTCTTCAGCATTTTGATCGCAACCACATTCCCCGTTTTCTTGTGCATGGCTTTGTACACCACACCGTACGTTCCTTCGTTGATCAAGTTTAGGAATGCATAGTCATACACAGTGGATGGCGGAGGGTTTGTCACAAGTCCCAGCCCTTGACTATTTGCTTCTCTGGAGGTGACCAAAGGGATAGCAGAGTAGTTGTCTTCTTCATGTGATACATTTTGCACTTCATTCCTGTCAGTCAAATGTGAATCACTGCACTCCAACCTTACAGGTATGTTGACATTGTTCTGTACGGTAGAGAAAAATCCACCCTGTGTAGACTGATATGACTCATTGTCTGTTGTTCTGGATGCAAACCCTGGCTGTATGACTGGTATTGGATGGCAATTTGAAATAACCAGCTTGTTGTCATCCTCATGCCTCTCCATTTCTGGGCTGTCCTGGCAAATTTCTTGCTGAGATTGGGCCAAAACACTCTGTACAGTTCCATCCTTCCTAAGTCTTCTGGTGTCCTCTTCACTGCAGAAAACTTCAACATGTGTCTGACCTGGTGTGCTGCAGTTTGTTCCATCGTGTTGGTCTGTACTTTCCTGCGATGCCGGCCACGATTCTTCAACAAACTTTTTGCCATCCTCTTTCTCTCCCAGGTTTCTTTCTTTCCAGTCATCTGCTGCTCTCTTCCTCTTCATCTCATCTGATGTGTTGTCATTCTCCCAACCGTTTATACCCTGACTAGCTGAGTCATTGCAACCAGTAATCGTTGAAGAATCTGCTACAGAATGTTCACCACTCAGCACGGTCTGACTTCTACCAACATCTGATTCTCCCATGTCATCTTGTGCCGTATTTTTGCCATCGTCTCCGGTGAAGGAATTGCTGGATGCAAAAACTGGTTTGATTTTGCTTGGTGGCATTTTTGCATCATGTTCCATTATTACATCCAGGCAGCTTTTGGATAAACATCTATACTGGGATGGTATCTTCTGATTTAAGTGGTGGAAAAGCTGCTACTATGCTAGACCGTCAGTTAAATCACTATCTGTGGTCTCAAAACACTATCGTCCTCATACCACAGCACGCCTAGCCTGGCACGTAGCATTTTCCAAAATAAAAAAGGAAGCGACATTCCAGGTTCTGATTCCATGACGCAGTAGAAAAATACGCGTTCCATTTCTGACATCATCCGATGGCGTGTCATAAATATCATGATGACACAGTGAAAACAGGGGGCTAAAAATAGATGTTGTGTTCATGTTGCGACTAGCAGCTGGGTTTTTAGAATGAAAACGGTTTAAAAAAGCTGTAAATCTGTAGTACTGCGGTGTGTGAAAATTATTATGTTGCGTAAGCGCAGTGCAATGACGAAGCAAGTCCCTACATGTTACCCCTCCCCCGCAATCCTTCTAGGTTTAGAGGAAGAAATGCGGTCAATGATAATCTAAGAACGATTGCAAAGCTACTAGACACTCTAAACACATTAAGGATGTTATACAAGTCAACACACATCAATCTTATTGGTCACAGTACCTGTAAATCCTGCTAAAAGTATCGATCACATTCGTTCGATCGTTTCCAGATGTAAACAATCGGTTTTGAACTTTGAACTTTCGGGGTCGCAACCTTTCACCTGTAACCTGATTTACCCCTGATTGTGATGTCTTTTCATATCTTGTGGAAATATTAGATTTACAAAGCACTGTATCATAACTAGCCAGTTATTTGCCATTAAAAGTAAATATCTAGCAGTTTTACACGTTTAAACTGTAGATATTTGGTGATAAAGTCTGCTAAAAGAAGGAAATACATCAATCACCCTCAGTCATGAGTTCATTGCTGACTAAGGTAAACGGGAAGTCATGTGATTGTCAAAATGGACGACTTTCAGCAGAAAGTTACTTGTTTTTCTGCAATTTGCGCGGGTTTTCTTGCCTAGTAAGGCTGAGAGATAAAAATCAACGCCCGGAATATAAAGGTAAGTAAATGAAGGAACTAATATGAGAAAAATTCATTGGAGAAGCGTCGTAGTTTTTGGATAAACATAACTGGAAGTCTGGAACTGATGCAAAACATTTTCGAGTCACCGAAGCGAGTTCAACGTCCAGAGGGATCAAAATTCCAAAAGTCTTTTTTGTCAAGGTCTGTCAAACGATCTGGGTAAAATCATTGAAAACGGGTCGATTATTTTCGAATTCTATAATCTGCCGTTTTATGAAGTGTGTTTCTACTCTAATTCTAGCATAATAAAGCGTTAAAATTAAATCACCGAGGGAAGAACAACAAATATTTTTGGCTTTTGACATTTGCCTTGTTCTGGTTCTGGATGGATACTGGGTAATACCCTTCAGTTTAATAGGGTAAAGCGCCCTAGTTCCAAGAAGGCTCGACTTTGGAAAATGTTTTGAAGAGAAAGAAGAAAACATGTAAAGGTTAGATAGCTCAGACTACAAGACTGACTGGTTGATAATGATCATGATATTTTGGCTATCACGTTTTCAGAGAGCTCAAATGGCAGAAGCGACTGTGAAGGAGTCTAAGGCAGGCACCCCTTCACCGGAAAGTGGTCTGACCCATTTTGCACCCTTGACTCCACTGGAAGAGAATCAGACCTCTTCGTTTTCGCTGTCGAGGTTGTTTCGTAGGAAAGGTACGTCCTGTTCTATTAAATTTCATATGGGGTGGGATGCTTCTACGACTGCAGATACAGTACACAGTGTAAGAGGGACTCAGAGAGAGAGTTTTTGTTTCTCCAACCGCAGATTACTTTCAACTGGGGTCGTGTGGCGCAGTCGGTAGCGCGTTCGGCTCACACCCCAGAGGTTGTGGGTTCGAACCCTGCCCATGTCACCGATCTTGTGCCCTTGGGAAAGGCACTTTACACGACTTTCCTCACTTCACTCAGGTGAAAATGAGTACCTAGCTTCGGTTAGGGACGTCCCTCGGATAGGACGTTAAATGGAGGTCCCGTGTTTGGGAGAGCCACACCCCATGCACGTTAAAGAACCCACCGCACTTATCGAAAAGAGTAGGGGATCTTCCCGGTGTGAGTGGTTCAAAACTTACAGTCCGGTCTTACGCAGCTTGTACATGTGCGCACATGTACAAAACTGGTGTGTTACGCCTGAAGGCGGTTTACCGGTTATGCGAAACAAACAAACAAAACAAACAACTTGTGTCGTGCTAATGTCTATAATGTATTGTTGCCCCTTCCTTCAATGCTGCTATGTTCCTTTACCTCTTACAGGGTCTAGTGATTCTACCAAAGATGACAAGGATGCCAAGAAGAGACAACAAGCTTCGGTTAAGTCGAGTCGTCCCGCCAAGTCGACCATCCCAACGATCAAGGAGTCGTCCAAGGAACCGACAGGACACAGCCACAAACAGGTCCACCGCAAACGCACGACAGAAGGGAGAGTCGGCAGGCATGGGGCTGTTAGTCCGGCTCACAGACTCAGGCCTGAGGATCATCGCAGGAGGACCGTGTCCCTCAGGGAGTCCACAGAGATGGCAAACAGAGGCAACGCTGTGGAGATTAGGACGCTCCCCAGTGTGCTGAAGAGACTGGTTGCAATTCTTGATGGAAGAATCAAGGTGGGCAAGGTTAGATTGCAGTGTCCTGTTGTTTTTTTTGCTGAGAATTTAGCATTTGATTTGGCATGGGAGGATAGGCACAGTTATTATCAGAAAGCAAATGCATAACGTTTACCTTCACATGGTCAAGCCTAACAAAGTACTAGTACTGCTCTGCTTTTTCTTACTCAGTCAAACACATTCATATATGTAGTGACCAGCCCCTCAAGCAACCTGCCACTTTGCTACATAATGTACTGCAACATCGTAAGTATGTATGGTGACCAGCCCCTTAAGCTCTGTCCAGCCACTTGTTAGTACAGTAGTGTTATAGTGACCCAATACCAGTGACCGTAGTCTGTGACAGATATCTCATCCAGGTCATTGATCGTATTTAAGAAGAGGAAAAAGAGAAGAAGAAGAGAAAACAGACCTGAAAACAATATGTTTCCTTCTATGAAGGTAAACATAACTATGGTAAACGTTAGAACCACTCAAACAATTTCCATTCCTACTGTGCAGGAGTACAAAGACCCAGGTGACCTGAAGCAGTACTGGATGCCTGACAGTCAGTGTAAGGAGTGTTACGAGTGTGGGGACAAGTTCAACACCTTCCGCAGACGGCACCACTGTAGGGTGTGCGGACAGATCTTCTGTAGCCGCTGTTGCAATCAGCAAGTCCCAGGAAAGTTCATGGGTTATACAGGTGGGTGGAAATCTTGGAGAGTAGTCTTATTTTTAAGTTAAAGGTCCAATGTCTTCTGTCTTTGCAGAAAGTTTAATACTAATAATAGAGGAAGAAATACTGCAGTGCTTGCCTATAATTATTCAGAACAAGGCTTACAATAAAGGGAAACCCTATATATGACTTGTTGGTATACTGCAATTAGATAGCCCAGAATTAGTAATAATATCCTTGGTTGTAATATTGATTTTGGTTGATATCAAGCTAGTGGAACACAATGGCCATTGAAAGTATTGATTATTTCACTGTTGCAGAATGAATGCTTAATGTACTCTTTGAAATGCGTTCATGATTTAAATGTTTACATATTTGTTGTTTTTCTGTGTCTTTGTCCTTGTGTGTTCTGTTTCCCTGTCTTGTGTTGTCATGTCCCACAATAGAGTTCTGTACTAGTAAGTGTACATTTTTCTAGGTTAAGAACATTTCGCTTTGTGTGACTGTTTGCTGCCTCATTAGCTTTTAGGAAGGCTTTGCATCACAGTATTTTGAACTTGCTGGAGCTGGAGTGGTTGGAGCTTTTGTCCACTTTTCAATTTCACTAATCTAAAAGCAGATGTTTGCTGTTCATTTCTGTTCCAAGATATGGAAGGCAATAATCAAAATGTATACTTCTGGAGATTGTTCTATATCATTTACATGTTTGAAATGATTTTATAAAATACTAACTAGATTTTACTCTGCATTAGTCTTTTATCTACAGTATTGGCTGTATGTGAGATTCAGGTTGGTACAGAATTGGGTGTTAAAAGAAAATTTTGTGTTTTGCCCAGGTGATGTTCGTGTCTGTACGTACTGTTGCAAGGTGGTATTGAGTTACGCCCAGACCGTAGATGGGAATGGGGACCTTAAGGCGATACGTGAGGATCTGAAAAACTTGACGGAGTCGCACCTCTCAACGTCAGGCTCCTTCACGTGGTACGATGCGTACCGGGATGACGGGACACCGAAGACATTGAGGAAAAGGGTCTCGCCTCGGCCTTTAGAGGAGGAAGTTGGACGGAGAAGGTAAAGACTACTTAAAGTTGTGATACAATAATTCTGTAGTGGGTCTGAATTAGATTCTACATTAGATTTAGCTTTCTTTCTTCCAGCTTTGCATGGGTCTGTTAGTGTTACACATGTATAGTACCAACACTTCTGAAAGTGATTTCTTCAGAACATAGGATATTGGGATTTTTTTTACACAACAGTGCTTCTCTCACCTTGCTTGCAAAAACTCTACCTACATTGGCTACATAGGGGCAAGAAGATGTACTCCAGTCAGAAGCGCTGAAAAAGGTATCTGATAGACACCGAAACACAAGGGAAGAGAAGCACTGGTTATATCCTTCACCAACACTGCTCATGTGTGCTACAATGCCAAGTATTACGTTAAGACTATACAAGATCTGGCTATATTACAACATACACATTTTGCTATATGTGCAAAATTTCTTCCTCTGCATGTCCATTTATATTGAGAGCTGCCCTACACAGTTATTTTATACTAAGTCTTACATATTAAGTTCATACTATAGGATAGAATATGAAACAAACCTCTATTCCAGCTTGCTGTCTGGTGCAGAAGTGTTTCATGCTGATATTTTTGTACCACGTTTGTGTAATCATGAGTCACCAACTTGAAATGGGGGCGGCCTTTCTCCTGCTGCAGCTCCTACCCCCACGACAGACGCTACAGCGCGGGATCGGACGCCAACCTGTGGGTCCCCGCAGCTTACATGGGCCGCCGCATCTCCCAAATCCTTTTAGACTTGTCCCCAAGACCCTCCAGGGTGGAGATAGACTTGTCCCACAGGTATACAGAAAGAAAAAAAAAACTTGCCAGAGGATCTTGCCCTATGTACATGTATTGTAGCAGCTGTTAGATGTTACGCAGGATGGTGCACCTGTCAATATAAGCCTTAAGGGTTTATGTAGAGATCCAGAAGAAGGGGCTGAAAGCCTGCTTTACCTCGGTCTCCTACCACCCTTACCAGAGCCAGAGAAATGAATAGTAGTACTGTACGTCATCGTACAAGGTTTGGCTGTTGAAGGACTGAAATATCATTCTATAAAAACATGCAAAAGCCTTATCATGGTTGTGTCAAACCATACATTCTCTAGACTATAGTTCTTCAGTGCAAATTGTCTGCAATGTATTGACAGGTGTATTTAGCGCTTTAGCATAAAAAAAAATACAATTTGCTATGAACAGAAAAGTATATCTCCCCAAGCAGGGTACTGTAACAAGAACCTCTGTCCAAGAAACTAACCCATCTCCACTAACCTGTCTTTCTTTTCTTCTCACAAAATCTTTTTTTCACAGACAAAAAGATGTCTTTTTCTTAGATAACTCCCTACCAGCTCCTTGCATCAGATCTAGAATTTAGATTTAGAATTTTCAATGAATTCCAAAGTATATTGCTAATATTCTAGCTACCACACTCCAATAGTATGTATAATACATTTTAATATATACCATTCACAATGTCAAGATTGTATTTCTGTATTAATAGTGTCTTGTGTATAGTATGTCCCTGTGCTGTGATATTACCAATAACATTTGTTTTTCCACACAGTACAGTAACTGACACACAAACAACTGTATTGTTGGTTGACATTACAGCAATGCTGTGATATAACATAATAATAAGCAACTGTTTGGAAAGTGCAGCTGATGACATCAAACTGATTTCAGCTTGTTATCTAGACAAGACATCCTTCCTATACCATTGACAAAAATGATCGTAAAAGGAACGTATTATGTCTATCATGAACTTTGCTATGCCTGAGTTGAGTCAAGAGTGTATGGCTGGCCCATAGACCGCTTCATGTATTCCTATTGTTTTTCGTGATATAATTTGCATGTGATTAACATGTACTAACGACCCTGCTTCCCTCGGTATGTACCCGTAGCGGGGAGTCTCTCCCCCTCATCCCGTCAGGGCTTCGTCGCCGCCTGTCACTTAAGTTTGCTAGCAAAGATGATGACGACAGTAAACTCAGGTACCCGTATATATATAACCACTGCCCTAGTTATGCCACCACCATCCCAACAACATTCTCACAACTTGCTTACAATTCATATCACTTGCTTTTGCTTTGCATGAGCTATAAAGAATTTGTCCAACTCCCACATGAAAAAATAGCACTTTTCATAAGAGATTGCACTTTTTTTGCAAAGCAAAAAGGATGGAAGCTATGGTATGGATGCCCAACAATACAGCTAGAGTGTATGTGCTAGACATGTCAGATGTAACACAATTGTTGTATTGTTTGTAGCAACAATGTACAAAAGATTTGGAAGTATGTGGCTGTGCATGTTGGTTGTATATTTTATGTATATAGAATGTTTGCTTGACAGAAATGTTTGTCATGCCTGTGAATAGTTGATGTGTCTTTTTCATTATATATTTGTTTACTCACACAGTGTTAACTCATTTGTATAAGACCTTTCCTTGCAAAAATCGCTCGCTCTGTTCCTGAGTACCATCTTGTAGTGTACATACGTAGCTCTTTTGAGCTTATATTTTCTTCCCTATTTCAAGTACATTGTATATATATAACAACTATCATATGCTCTTACTACAAACATGTAGGCTGAACCATGTACTAACTACTGTTCATCCTCACCTACTGTCCAAACATGAAATAACACCAGTGTATTCTTTCCAACCTCTTTTGCAGGTCCTTTTCTCTACAATCACACTTTCTTACAGCCTCTCACAAAGAACAGCTGAATTGTTGCTAACAAATGCAGCTCTTTATATAGTATAAACCCACCCTCCATGCAGACCTCACACTCAAATGTCAGTATCTTTGTCTGAGTACATTGTATGTACTAAATTGTATCAAGACTTTGTGTTCTACGGACTTTTTCTGAAACCTGCAGTTCTTTAAACCCTTTCTTGTTCATGCCATCCACCATGGGAAAACCTTTGTTGTAAAATTTGATTGTGCTTTGCTGAAATGTCCTGTATTGTGGTAGGTGTAACAGTACAAGCAGTGATGTGACCTCGTCGCGTGACAACCTGAACATCTTTGACACGGCCAACGCTCCTGGTGCCAAGTACATGCAGTCTGACACACTTCTCATGGAGGAGGAGAGAAACAAGCTGTTACAGGTAAACAGAAAAACACTAAAATAATAAGTAAACACCAGCAAATACATAGTAATTGTCCCCTAAAAACATTGGAAGAACCAATCACAAACTCCTGACCCAATATTTCCCCGACATTTTCCATCCCCGTTCAATAAGTTTTTGATTTCCAAATTGCTAAAATGTTTACTTCACAGCCCATCTAGGATCTTTTCTCACTTCTGTTTCTTACTGCTTCCTGGTAGAATTTAATCATTTTTGCTTTATTAGAATATCTCTTTTCTAACCTATCTGTCAATATTTCCTGTGTTGTGTCCTGTACATGTATGTCTTCCAGTCATATGTGCTCTGGAGAGCCAAGTGCATCCGAAGGGTGACATACTTTATCTTCCAACTCTTTACTTCATTCTGTTATTTTCTTACTTTTTTTACTGCTATCAGCTAAAATAGTTTTGAATCTCAATTCTATTGATGAAAGATAACTTCATTATGAGATTTTGATCTCACTTTCTCAATTACCTATTCTGCCTTAATTTCATTTTCTTTAAGCATTGTTCTACTGATTTAACTATCCCGTGTTTTTCTTTGTTTTCTTAAATCCTTGATGTTATGTATTTACCCAAGACCCTGATGTACTACTGTGCTTTTACCCAGGATTCTGTGCAACTGCGTGACCTGTGGCTCCAGATCCAGCATCCAAGCCAGGGTATGGAATTCCAGAACCACCGCTACCGGCTGCGCACCTACACCAACTGCATCGTGGGAAATCAGCTGGTGGACTGGCTGATCAAAAGGGACAAAGCAACATCCAGGTATTTAATTTCTGTCACCTTCTATACCAGGATCATCTTAGTGCACAAAATGATACTAACAGTAACATGTGAAAGTCTCAGTGTTGTAGATAGAGAACAACACATAAGAATCTGCATAGCTCTTAGAAATTCCACCGAAGTCTGCACAAGAATATAATCTCTAGCTATTAACATATGTCTTTCTGTTCACCTATTTGGACAAAGGAAAAAGGATGGGTGTATGCACAGGTTAGCCATGGTATGTTTCTTGTATGTTGTAGCTTAGTGGTCTGTCTGATGCTGAAAGTATGAAGAAGATGATTATGACAGAAAGTGGTAGTAGATAGGTATTTCTTTCCAGCCTTTTATACATTTGAATACCTTAACCTTGTCCTTGCTACGTAACCCAGAACCAATAGAGATTTGGTAGCCAAATGGCTACTTCAGTCTGCTGAAGGTTAAAATGTCTTGAAAGAAAAAAAACAATAATGTGACCTGAGAAAGGACACTCTTTTTACACAACCAAGTCTTTTATTCAGCTGACGTTTCGGTGACCATCTGTCACCTTCCTCAGGGCAATTCTGACTGGTTCACATTGCATTGCAGCAAAGGTGTCACTGCTACAGATGCATTCCCAAATGTACAATATTTACATATCTACACAGCAGTGACACCTGCGTTGCAATGCAATGTGAACCAGTCAGAATTGCCCTGAGGAAGGTGACAGACGGTCACCGAAACGTCGGCTGAATAAAAGACTTGGTAATGTAAAAAGAGTCTCTTTACTCTGTCTTACCAACCTGATGAAACTATTCACTGAATAATGTAACCTTACAACATTTGTCCCCAGAGTGCAGGCAGTTGTGCTTGGTCAGGCCCTGCTGGATGCCAAGTGGCTGGAGTGTGTGACCCACACTGACCAGATCTTCAGAGACGAGTACTCTCTGTACAGGGCTGGGGAGGTAGGTATTCCTCAGGGATATTTGCATAGATCTGTTCTACGTTCACAGTTGTAGCATTAAAATGATAAGATATACTGTCCTCATCTGTAAAGAGAATATGTAGAGACATTGTTTTTAAACTAGAGGTTGGTGAGTTCAAATCCTAATGGTTGTTGCTCACCAACTTAGCCTGGGTGCCATCTGATTTGCTATGGGCAACTTACTCTCGTTGGCCCAAAAATTCAAGTGTAAGGAGTCTGTAGAAGATTGGATGGCACCCAGGCTATCACCAACTTGTCTGCATGCTACTTCAAAGAAGGACTGTGTAACAGTTCTTGAATAAATAGGCATTGTCCTCTGTTCATCCCGTTATAAAGAGATAGAAATTGCCCATCACATTAAGCCTATATCAACCGTAGATTGTGTTCGTCCTTTCCCTTTAAAGCCAATGAAAGAATAGCAAATCTCTATACATCATCTTGATATAAATACATGTCCATTCTATTAAGATGGCGAACCATGAGTTGGAGAGTCCATCCCCGAGCACGGAGACTGGTGACACGCCCACCATGGAGGACGAGTGGGAGCCGTCCTGGTTCCGCGAGATCCAGCGGGACGACAGGAGCGAGGACAGCAGCGCCGACGAGATGCTGCTCATCGACAAACCAGGTACGTCCATCTGTCTATCCATTCACGCATCCATCCATCCATTCATCCATCCATTCATCCACGCATCCTTCCATCCATCCACGCATCCATCCATCCATCCATTCTTCCATCCATCCATCCATTCTTCCATCCATCTATCCATCCATGCATCCATCCATCCATGCATTCCATCCATCTATCCATTCTTCCATCCATCCATCCATTCTTCCATCCATCCATCCATGCATCCATCCATCCATCCATCCATCCATCCATCCATCCATCCATCCATCCATCCATCCATCCATTCTTCCATCCATCCATCCATCCATTCTTCCATCCATCCATCCATTCTTCCATCCATCCATCCATGCATCCATCCATCCATTCTTCCATCCATCCATCCATGCATCCATCCATCCATCCATCCTCCATCCATCCATTCTTCCATCCATCCCTCTATCCCTCCATCCCTCCATCCATCCATCCATCCATCCATTCTTCCATCCATCCATCCCTCCATCCATCCATCCATTCTTCCATCCATCCAATGGTACACATAGATGAAGAGTATTGACTGTAACGTTATTAAAACACACATTTTGTTACATAGTTTACTTCATTTTGTCGATGCTTTCAATTAGTAGATGATGTGTTGTAAAATACATGTACTGTATCTTTCTGTACTGTTACCTACCTGTTAGATGAATGTCCATACATGTATAATTTGGGTGATGTTTTCTGTTTAGAACTTCACAGCCATGCTTGTACTTGGCTGATGTGTATCTGTACAGTCTAGTCAAGCCTTGAGCAGTCTTCATACTTCTGTCTTTAATGCACCAGAAATTATTGTACAATCAACTGATCAACTTCTCTATTTCTTACCCTGATTTTCCCAACCCTCCTTCCTCCTTGGCTGCGTAGCAGAAGCTCCAGTCGCCCAAATAGCCATAGAATATGACGGCAGCCATGATGATGATGATGATGATGATGTCACACAGTCAGGTAGAATGCCCTTATGTGTGCGGTGTTTTGTCTTTGTCCTTTTTAAAGAAAACAATTCTACAACCGTGATTGTTTTCAGAGGAGCATGAACAAACTTTGGTTTGAAGGTGGCTTGTGACTGTTATTTGGCACAAAGTTAATTTTCTTACTTTGACTGCAAAGTTGTAATTGTGTTCTCTATTTGGTGTTCCTCAAGCATGTCTTCTAATGGTATGCCTGTTTGTGTTTCAAACTGTTGTTCTATTCATAATTAGAATCAAGCTATGTGCTACACACTTTTAGTGCCTTCTGTGGTCTAAAGTGAAACCTGTATCATTCCAGATGGTAAAAAATCTTCGAAATACAAGAAGACGAGTAAAGAGACCCTTCCTGCAGCCAAGAAGCCGGTGGACTCACACTCTGAGTCCTCAGAAGAAGGAAGAAGACAGGCGACATTTTATCTCGATCTTAAACCAGACAATGTCAACTTCAGGGTCAAGAAAACCAGCAAGGTTGCCTCCAGTGCAGAAGCTGAAAAAGGTAATTGCATTTTGTATTTTATTATTATGTTACTCAAATTGTTTCCTATTGTTATTACTGAGCTCTTGAAATTTATTGAATTTTATAATGTTGAAAGTGATTAATTATAAGATTTGTTAGATTTTATAATGATTTTTTGTCATTTTTCACACTCTTTCTGAAATACAATTTGACAACACTAATTGTTTGTTGATGCTTATAACCATTAATTTCCTCATTGTGTTAACTGACTCCTGTATGAATACTAGTATAATGATGTGGATTTTTTAATTGCATAGGCAATGCTCCTGACTATTGTATGTATCGAGACTGATCTAATTCTATTTAAATGATGTCCAATATTGTCAATATAGTCATACAATACAGAATTTGATGCATGAAGCATGACTACATGCATGACTACTAATGACATCCTCTGCAATTCAACCAAATCAAGAATCTTGAATGTTGTTTTTCATGTTGCTAATCAAAGACAAGGACTTGTACATATCAGTCTTCCCAACCCTATCTGGAAAGTACGGTAGGTTTGCCTAGTTTGTCAACAACTATAGACAAGTTTGAGCTTTCACACTATAATCACAGACTGCAAAAGTGCTGGTGTCACATATAAGTCAATATTTGAAGGAGTACATTTGAACACATTTCAATGTATCTTAGAACATGTTTGAATGTTGACAAATGTGACACAGTTTTGTGGTCTGTGAAAGTTTGAACATGTCTATTGGCTAATACTGGTCTATTTGATTAACTCTCTGGAAAAATATCCATGTCTTAACCATGATTGAAGATGTGACATCTCTACAAATCCTGGTTGCATTTTCTTTCTTTCTTTCTTTCTTTCTTTTTTTTACAATCCCTCCTACAAGTTCCCAAACAATAGTGACAACAGAATTACACTGTATGTGCATTGCATAGGAAAAAAAAGAGATCAACTTTTTTTCTTTACTGATGATTGGATATTAAAGACAGGATGTAGAGATGTCACATTTCTTATATTTCACTAAAATTAAATGTAATTACACTTACAATGTGTGAGCACATACTAAAACCACTAATGTTTCATCATATTAAGTCCTATGGGTTCATGGTAAGGCCACTTGACTCCTTGAAGTGCATAAGTAGACTTACCAGTAAGTCTTGTTTATTTAAATTGAATCATGTGGACAAAAGTAATTACATGTATCACAGCTGAAATGGTTGTATTTTCTGTGAACAGCTACAAGTCTAATAGTTTAAAGACTTGTCACCATGTGTTTGTGACATATACATTTTGTACTGTTTATATCTTAAACTGTAACCTCCAGACTGTTATCTTAACCTGTTTAGTTTATTAACTCCGCAGTGAGTGTGAACTCCCAGGACTCAAACCTGGACTCATCACAGTCAAGTCTTGGGGACGACCTACTCAAAGGTTGGTTACTTTACTTTTCTTAAATAATATTCACCAAAGCACAAGTCAGTATAACTAAAGAACAGTAAATATTCACCAACAGTAAGACAGATAAAATATTGATATTCTTTCTACTTAATATGTTGACTTTTATTCAATCTGACATTTGTCTAAAGGGCAATAAAGGAAACATGAAATGATATCTTGTAGACAATAATCATTTTGAAACTGTTTGTGGAACTGGTAACAAATTGATGGTTCTTTTGTTTCCCTTTTCTTGTGATTCATGTGTTCAGATTCTCCCCAACCCATTATTGTGATTCTTCCAAAGGCAGTTATAAAACTTCCAAAAGGTAACACATACCTGGTGAAAATGTGCCCTAGATTAGCAGTGCTGTCCTGTGTTAACACTTCTGTCACAATGAAATAGCTAAACTCTTCTTCATGGCAATGTCAAAAGTGTCCTTTTGATATTATACTGCTATAAATACTGTAACTGGCTTGGCTTCGTTGGCAAAGATTCCAAGGGTCTTTTCCACTTCTGATGCAGGGTTGCTGGTGGCTGACAAGGCTGATATGTAACTAACAACTGTCAAAGTGTACATTTGCAGCAACATTATAAAGATTGTTGTATTATATAATATAAAATGGTTTTCAATACACAAAGAACTCAACATATATGTTGTGTTTTCATTTATTTCTGATAGAAATCATTGTTTGCTTAATTAACTTCCTCCTTGCTATTTTGTTAAGAGTATTCAATCAAGTATTGGAAAAACTGCAGACATGGGAAATATGCTAACCACATTTTTCATGTCAGTCTAAGAAAACAGAAAAATTACCAATATATTTTCAGGAATGATTCTAACTAAGAATCCGAAATTCTTAGCAGTTTGCCATATAGAAAAACTCAGAGAAAGATACATGTATCTTTGGTTGTCTGTGATACCAGGCTTCTTTCAGTACTACAACAATGTATATGTCACATATACATACATGTACTACAGTACTACTACTACACGAACCTAAAGAAAATGTAAATGGCATTTGTAGTTTTTGACATGTACATGTATGTTGTGTTCCAGATGCCTTGTTCCTGGGTAAGGAGACCCCCTCCCCTTATGAAGTGGAGGCTCCCCGTGGCTGGCAGATGTGTGACTCACTCCGCGAGGAGAATGGGGAGAGACTGGCCATGAAACGACTCTGGTCAGCATACTGTTTTATTAGTTAAAATCAATGATATGCAGAGCATATTCTCTCCCATGATGTAGCATCCATTTTCCAGTTTTTCCAGTGGTTAGCGACCCTTCCTCTGGACCAAAAGGTTAGGGGTTTGAATCCCGACATCTGTTGTAGCCAAACGTGCAAGCTACTGTAAATTTCCGTATCTGTATCAGTATAGCCGGTATAACCGCCCTTCGGCGTAACACACCAGCTTTGCAGGCACTCGGCACGGTAGCAGCTCGCTATATCACACCGAATGACTTGTTACTCTCAATTTTTACACATTTAATTGCAGGAGTTGTTTAAAGCTTTCTAGTGATAATGCCCCAACTGTGCTTGGTGGCAACGAGTTCCAGTCTACAATAGTTCTTGGGAAATAAGAATTTTGAACAGCTCAATTCTTGGTTGATAACTCTGATATTTGAAGGCATGACAGTTTTGCTACAAGGTAAGAATTTCGCCTGTGTTTTGTACAGTTCTGCCCATGACCAGCACACTGTGGCGTTTATAAAGCAGCTGCTCCACGAGGAGTACCTGTCCCTGTGGTGGAGTGACATCATCATGCCTCTGGTGCGACAGATCAGTGAGACGGTCCGCCCTGACGTCAGGCACGAGAACGACAACATGGACATCAGGCAATACGTCAAGTTCAAGAAGGTCACATCATTCATAGTTCATTATTATGTTTACCGAAGGAAAACATAGTCTTTGCTCAGTTTCTTCTTCTTCAATTCCAAACACTGACCTGGTCAATGACCGGAACCAGACCGTCTGTCACCATGGTAACTGGTGTTGGGTTGCATAATGTTGCCATTTTATAGTAGGAGGAATTTAGACTCCTGTCACCATATACTTACTAGTCTAGTATGTGAATGTGAGTGAGAATCAACAGAGCAGACCATATACAAAGGTAAACATTATGCATTTGCTGAATGGCGTGTTGAAAGTGTTGAATGTCTAAATCCTCATTGGATGCATCTTACAAAGAATATTTGATATTCTTCATTTGATAAAATTTACAGTGCCGATAATCATTCTAAAGAGTTGTGTTATTTCTGACTACAGATCCCTGGTGGCCATCGGTCAGATTGCTGCTTTGTCAATGGAGTTGTGTGTACTAAAAACATTGCACACAAGAAGGTAAGAGCATTTCTTTTACTATTTACTATAATGACAGATTTACATTTAGCAGAATTTTTGAATTGGTATGTTTGTGCAAAATGTCATGACTAGAAAAAAAATTGTATTTCTTTATTTCCTATTGCTCTGTTAGATGTCCCACCACATCCTGAACCCCCGTATCCTGATGGTGAAGGGATGGATCGATCACCAGCGCTCAGAGAACAGACTCGCCTCCATAGATCCTATAGTCTTACAGGTAAGAACTTAACCATCAACATGATAAGGTAGCTGTTTGGGTAGGTATTAGTAATCTAACTGCCACCTAGATCCACAGTGTACTTTAAATCACTTTATGTTCGCAGTAGCAAAAGTTAGCAGTCTGAGGAAAGTGGACATGTTCACAGAACTACATGTATATGTTCACGGTATCAACATGCTAAGGTAGTCATTTGGGTAGGTATTAGTAATCTAACTGCCATCTAGATCCACAGTACTGTAAATCACTTTATGTTTGCAGTAGCAAAAGTTTGCAGTCTGAGGAAAATGGACATGTTCACAGAACTATACATTCATGGTGGCATCAGGTGCAGCAAAAAGAAAGTCGGCAGATTATGTTCATGGTAATGATAAGTTCACAGTATAAAAGAAGTGACTGCATAAACCGTGAATATAAAAGTACCGCAGAAAAATGATTATCGGGATTTACAGTACACGCTCACCCAAGTGTTTCTTTGTTTTGTAGGAGAGAGAGTACCTGAAGAACTGTGTTGCTCGTATCACGTCCCTGAACCCCCGGCCTGACATACTGCTGGTGGAGAAAACCGTGTCTCGTATCGCTCAGGACCTACTCCTGGAGGCTGGCATCACTCTGGTACTCAATGTCAAACCTGTAAGTCTCTTCTTCTTCTCTTTTTTTCTTCTTTCATTTTTAAGGCAGCTGCCTTCAACTAGCTGAAGATTCTGCTGCCTTTTTGTGGCTAACACGAGATGGGGTTTGCCAGGCCTCCATCCAGGAAGGTAGTGTTAAGTGCCTTTCCCAGGGGCACAAGAATGGTGACATGATATGGTCGAACCCGGGTCCTCTTGGTTCCAAGCCGAACACTCTGTTGTTACACCACACGACTCCCCCTGATTTATACTAATAAAAAACAACCAAACAACCAGTTTGTTTAAGAAACAAACAGTTAAAAATATACATGACACCGATTGAAGACAAGACGTTTCAGGACTTGAAGAAAAGTGTGAGTCGTTTGTATGTTTGTTGTTGACTTGTTTGTTTGTTTGTTTTGTAGGAGGTAATGGACAGGATTGCTCGATGTACCCAGGCTGACTTGATCCCATCCATTGACCAGGTGGCCAAGCCCACACTTGGCTTCTGTCACAGGTTCTACCTACAAAACCACCTCATGCACTCAGGTAAAGGTTCAGATCTACTTAGAACTTAGAGCGAGAACTTTTGAATTTAATACCCAATGTAGGAGGGCTGTGTGACAGTCTTACCTCATGGTACATCCTTAAAAAGATAGAACTGAACTCCACGAATGTGACTGTTCCTTTTCCTTGATAAAGGTATGATAACATGGAAAATTTCTACTAACTACAATAAGCTTGATATTTCCCTCCATATTTTTCAGGTGACAACAAGACACTGATGTTCTTTGAAGGATGTGCCTCACACCTGGGCTGTACTGTTGTGCTGAGGGGAGGGTCTGATATTGAACTCACTAAGGTCAGTCTTTACCCACACTGTTCTAACAAGAGCCTTGTTTTAAGGTATATCTTGTCCATGATGCCAACATTAATATTGTTCTTACAAATACTGTAAAGATTTGCCAAACACTGAACTTTGGACAAGCTCCATACATTATTGTGTTGCTACCTATGCTACCACCACATTTGTACCAGTGTGGCAACGTGTGTGTATCCCTAGCATCTTGTATATGAGATGTAATCATAAGACTTTCCTGAATATGTTTAGTCACTGGCATTTACTGATACCCCACTTCCTTGCCTTTTCCCCTCTAGGTGAAGCAGATAATGCAGTTCATGGTGTACATGTGTTACCATTCTCGCCTGGAGATCTCTTTCCTGATGGACGAGTTTGCCATGCCCCCTGCCCAGCCAGACGTAAAAGGCAGCCCTCCCCACTCAGCAATCACCGAGCGCAGCAAACACAGGGACAAACATGCTGCAAAGGGGCAGGATAAGGAAGAAAAATCCTCCGAGAAAGAGAAGCACGCAAAGATGCCTTTGAAAGAAGTTGTAGTAGGAAGCCCGGAGGAGGAATCGCCCATGGAGACAAACATCCAAGCCGATTTCGCACATCCGCTGCAGCGGAACTGGCGCTCGGCGAGCTATGTCGAAATCGGAGACACAGAGACGCAGCTTTCCTCCCTTATTTCTCAGTTCGAGGCCGAGGCGTCAAAGCGCAAACTGTGTACGTCACCGTTCCTACGACACGACATGCCGTACCTGTTAACGGATGAAGGCAACCGCTGTGTCCTGAGGAAGTACTTCCCAATCCAGGTCTTCTGGTCGGGCCGGTTTGAACTCACTCCAGAGCGTGAGAAACAACTCGAGCGGGAACGCTCGAAACTCTACGAACTTGAACCCATGCGAGGGAAAGAGAACTCTCTCCATTTCAACAGTAGATATTCAACGTCAGGCGTCAACATCGTTCCACCCCACGCCTTCCTAAGTGGACCGCTCAAAGACCCGATCACCAACCAACAGACAGCGTCACTTCTCGCTGAGTTCCGTGCACTTGGCGGCAGGCTGCAAGAAAACAAGAAGCAAGGAAAGAGGAAGAATGGTTTAAAGAATGGCAAGAGGAAAGAAGCAAGGAGCTATGAACAAAGCCTTGATGTGGTCAGCTTGGCCAGTAACACCAGCACTGGATCAGCTGTGGTGTGGGAGCAGAAACGTTTGGTTCGTAATTTTCTTCTTATTGGTGTATGAATGATTCCAAAGGTGAATTGTCTTTTTCCGTGTTGAGTCAACATTACTAGGTGCCTGCTAGATACATGCTGTGTTTACTTAGGAACTTAAAGACTTGATATGTATCAATGTGTAATGTTTGTTGTACCTAATGGTATAGTGCAACATGTATTGGTAACTTAAGATAACATGAGTTTAATGTGACACTAAACAAAGCTAGTACCAGTAAAATGTGGAGCTTCAATGACTACATTTCACATCATGATACAACAGTCAAAACTGCTCAAGAAGACCACCCAGGGGAACGAGACTATTTGGTCCATGTATATGTGAACAGGTGGTCACTTTAGACACGATACTGGATGCTTGTGTCAATGGGAAAAATTATATAAGGGACCACCAAAAAGTGATCACATTGGCCAGGGCTGGTAGTCCTTATCATCATCATAGCTTATGTAGAGGAGGTCACTTGTACAGGTTTTACAGTACTAGAATTGGGAACCTTTACATATATGTATACACATGTATTAGGCAAAGAACATAAAGAAAACTGTAATACTATAATTATATATGAGCCATAATTATGTTTACCGAAGGAAAACATAATTGTTCTTGCTCTGTTTCCTCTTCTACTTCTCCAAACAAAGGTCAATGACCTGAACCAGATGTCTGTCACCATGGTAACTGGTGCTGGGTTACGTCATGTTGCGATTTAATATAAGGAGGGATTTAGACTGCTGTCACCAAATATATGAATGTGCTTGAGTAAGAATTAACAGAGCAGTCCACATGCGAAGATAAACATTATGCATTTGCTTTGCAAATGTTACCTTTCTAGTTGTATATGAGCCATATCTGTGTGGGTACAAATGTATGTTTGTTCCAGGAGTCCTGGGTTGTCCTGGGGGATCACCAGGCCCTGTCAGACATGACTTTACCCAATCAGACTGAGGTGAACATACTACAAAATGTAACATGTAGCAGCATGGGAAGTTTTGCCTTGCATGTTCACAGCTAACTTGCCAGGCTAACTGCAACTGTACAGAGTTCACATTGATGCACTGACATTTTGTAGATGGGAGAGTTACTAGTAGTCAACACTTTATTTAGAGTGGTGAGGAGCATGGTTCTTGGGGTTCCTGCCTAACTCTGTGGTCGTACTGCCAAGAAAACATCCACAATCTTGTTTAGTTTTGGTGTAGAGCATGATTAGAAAGTGTGGAATCTGAATGATGGTGTCTTCATTGCATGGTGGGTCTACTGAACTCACTGCTTGGGGTTTTAGCCACTCTAGTTACAGTAGATTCAGTTATTCCTTACATTTATATGCAGATACTAGTAGCTGACCTGCCATGGTTATTCCTATGTCTCTAGGTGGACTGTATGGACCCCAGGAATCACCAGCACATTTCAGTTCTCTTCAGTAGCTTCTCTTCAGCATCAGCCAATGCTCCCAACCCCTGTGTCAGCCCATGGTGAGTTTATTACATTTTACCTTATTCATGTGTCTGTCTGTGAGTGTGTCTATGAATAGTATAACTTGAAAAGTTGTGGATGGATATTTATGATCTTTGGTGTGTTGGTAGTCTGTGTCAAAAGCTGTAGAAAGAAATATTGTTATGGAGGACATTATGTTTTTGCTTGCCATGGATATTTTAGTTGCACTTAACAAATAAACTTGTAGCAGTAAATAGGATAGAGAGTTTGTCATAACTTCATTTAAGGTACATGTATGTACATTTGTACATGGCTGTACATTTAGAAATTCATTTTTGTGGCATGCACTATATGATAGCGCTATTTTCCTTAGTCATAAGATGTCAACATTTTGCTATCAGTTGAGTTGAATACAGATTGATTTTTTGATTGATTGATACTTTAGTAAGATCAGTTGTGCTTCAACATTCGCATACATGTAATTGGACATACTCCATATACATTTACACAATTTCCTTCATCACGCTGAAGGGTTGTGACCATGGACTTCTACGGGAAGAACGACATCACCCTTGGTGCGTTCCTGGAGCGGTACTGTTTCCGCTCAGTGTACCAGTGTCCCAGCGAGACGTGTGACACCCCCATGGTGGAACATGTGCGCAGGTTTGTCCACGGACAGGCCAGTATTGAGATCACCATGCAGACACTGGCCAGTCCCATCCCTGGTCAGCACAATAACATACTGCTCTGGAGCATCTGTGCCATATGTAAACAGGTAAGCCACTTTGTGCTGTGTACGTGTAATGCAAATATGTGTGTACAGTGGTTGTATTTTTCTGTTTGATGTAGAGTCTATTTTGGAAAGGGATGACTTTTCAGAGCAGTAGTGCCAACCAGAAATTGACATTTCCTACAAAATTGAACAAATTTTGAATTCTGAAGAGTGCATTGGATTATTGTACAGTATTTATAGAATTAACAGAAAGGGTAGGATAGGGAAGGTCACATAACCAAAAGCTATTGATTTTGACAGCCATTACTTTTCATTTTTCTATCTGTGGTTATTTTTTCACTGTTGCAGTATTAGTTTCATGCTCCATGTATCCTACAAGCTTTTGTATTGACATGTGCAATATTGCTAATCTTACCAGCCTGTCATCTATCAGTAGCCTGTCATTTGAGAGAGTAGGGTAAAAAAAACATTGAACTTGTACCATATCCCTTGTATATCCCAGGTGACGCCCATCGTGCCCATGTCGGTGGAGTCCTGGTCCATGTCATTTGCCAAGTACCTGGAGCTGCGTTTCCAGGGTAGCCGGTACACGCGCCGCGCCGCCATGCAGAACTGCGCACACTCCCACCACCTGGACCACATCCAGTGTTTTGCCTACAGACACTCTGTGGCTTCCTTACAGTGAGTCATGGACAAGGTTTCTATTGCCTTTTCAGAGCTCAACATGGTCAATTCTAATCATAAGTATGAATGGGTTTAGAGAATGTTTAAGAGATGCTCTTCACTGAAAGGCCTAAATTTTGACTAAGATTGGGGATGTACATAAATGTAAAAACCAGCAAAATAACACCTAATAGTATGGTATACTCTCAGTGATGCAGAATGTTCCCAATGTGATGAAATCTTTTTGGACCCCCCAGGTACCATCTAGTAACCCTGTATGAGATCGCCCTGCCCCCAATGCTGGTGGCTATCCAGGAGAAGGGACACGACCCCGACACATTCTTTGACCAGATCAAAGATCTTGCTGAAAAGTGAGCTACAGCCTTTAATTCTTATATCTTCTATTCCTTCATAATTTATTTGCTTAAAGCAGAAAGTATGTTGCATATTGTGCTATAATTTCAGACGAACGAAAAGACCTTGCTTACAAAAGTGAGCTTACAATTTTTTTTTAATTTTCTTGAGTGGTGTTGCAGTATGTCACATACTGTGTTCTGCCATGATTTCAAGACTGTGAAGTGTCCAACTGAAAATAACAGATGATTAATTTGCTGTGTACAATGTATTTTCTCTCTGTCTCAGAGGTCAGAAGCTGTATACAGCCATCAAGGACAGCATAGATCGCATCATGGCTCTCAAAGTCGACTCCTTTTCACATGAACGAGAGGAACAGATCGGCTCTCTCCAGGCACAGGAGGAGGTACATGTATAGAATTAGACTGTGTACTCTCAGTGCTAAGTTAGATGAAGCACAGTTAGAGGTGCCCATGTTTTCAACAGCAACCATATATGTGCATTAAAGCTCTATGTACCAATTGGTAGTGGGCAAAAATTATATCTAGTGCACGTACACGTGTACCTGATTTTGTTGTTACTATATCTTACATAAACTGTGATCAAAGCATGTAAGTTGAATTTAAGTAGGACGATTAAAGTGAAGAAAAGATGATCAACTTTTAAAAAGTTTTAGGGATGTCATTGCTACTGTCTTTTGAATAAAGAAAGCACTAGAATAACAATAACAAGCACCATCATTTTCTGTCGCTGTTTATAAAATTATGTTATTTGTTCCCTGCCTCCCCAGATGGAGTTCAGCCATTTCCAGCGCTGTTTGGAGCAGCTGAACAGTCGAGTTGTGTCAGTCTTTCAGGAGGATGAGAACGGAGATGTCTCCACTTCCTTTGGTAAAAAAAACATCTTCTGTTTTGTATAAGTTGACACTATAATCTCTTACATGTATTCTGAAAAAACCTAGTTCTTGGGCAATCTAAAGTAGAAATCAAGCTACTGTTACAACATAAAACATTAGACTTAAGATTGAATCATTCTGCATATATTTTCTCTTTGAAATTGTTTTCCTGGATTTCCAAATTTTTTTAAACATTCGAATTTGAGGTTTCTCAAAAATGCACGAGATACGTACTGACATCAAATGAATGTGGATGGCATGATTTGACAAGTTAAACATAAGACTCTTGCCACGCAGTACTGTAAAGTTTTGTTATTTAATCTTATTCCTGCTGCTAACCCTGTAACCAATCGAGAATTGGTATCCAAGCAGGACCTTTAGTGTACTAAAGGTTAAGAGCATGAATTCTGCTCCAGATGGCCCCCTGTTGATGTGGGATGTGGTGGATGCCATAGTGAACCTGAAGCGTATGCTGAGTGAAGCCTCCTCCACTTGGAACGCCAGGCTGCAGGACTTTGTTCACCAGGACAGGAACAAGAAGTCCAAAAGCCCCATCCTCAGGAGCAAAGAGCTGGCTGTCGACTTTGTAAGTTTTACAACTTTTGATAACTTTGATGTACACATTGTCATCTGTTGTAATTGAAATTTTCTCATCTAGATTGTCATTTTGAATCACTTTCAAATATATTAGCGTCTCTATTTCGCTTTTCCGACTACTCGTTATAAGTTGAGAATAAGTTGCACCAGGTCCACTGTATTTTTAGCAATGATGTTGATCTTTTACTCCCGAACTGTCATAAATAGTGAAAATCTTACATAAGGCCACACCAATTTAATTTGTTGGTTCTCGGATTCGCCTCTTCATTTTTTTCTGATTTGCAAAAAAAAAAAAAAAAGATTCTGGTTCTGAATCAACTCAAAAATGCTCATATTTTGCCGCCAACAGTTGAGGAAATTCCTTTTCTTCCTAGTTGTTACAGTTTTTTTCCATCTATCAATGCAGTGGTTTGATTAAAAGTTCAAAATTTATACTTTAAATTTTAACCCAGTCTTTTTTGTTGACTTCATGGCTGCATATTGTAGCATTTGGGGCTATGATAGGATGCCTAGACCTGTTTTTATTTTTATTTTTTTTCGCCCTGTCGCTTCATATTTTTTCTGAAAAAATCCGAGAACCAACAAATTAAATTGGTGTGGCCTAATATTGCTTTAAAATGTCAGTTATACCAGCCATAGTTTTTTCAGTTATAATGACTGGTTCTGTAAAGAATTGTGTTTATTTTACTTTGCAGGCCAACCATAGCAACACCTCGTCTCCAAAAACACCAGGACAAACCCCCAGAGGGAGTCAGGAAGACCTTCTGTCTGCTACTGGTCAGGGATTCCATCTTATTGTTGATCTTATCGATGATTTTCCTTACCAGTTAATATGATTTTGTTTGATTTATGCTTGTGAGATAAGTTCCATTGATATGCAAATTCCTTTCGATGTTTGGTTGGATTCTTTATGTTACCTTAAGATTAATTGCCCACTTGTATATAGTGATTATTTTCTTCTTATTTATTATTGTATTTTATCCTCAGTTACTTTGTTTGTATTTTACTATGTTGGGGTTTACCCCCCAGGTATCATTGAAAAATGCCGACAAGGCGATTTGTATCACCTGGATAAATAAATGAAATGAAATGAAAATGAAATGAAAAATGTCCATCAGTTTTTACTCAGTCCAAACGTTATAAGTATTCGAGCTTAAGAAGTGAAACATTTTTCCTGCAGAGATTTAGCTCTATTTCTGATCTATATATACATGTAATTATAAATTCCTTTATCATGTTTTGTTTGGCATCGTAATGATTTTACTCAGTAGCAACTAGCAAAGTTTGCTTGGCCATCTTTTTGAACCTACATACATGTATGCATTGCCAACAGTTGCTGCTAGGGGGCGCTTTTGTTGCCGGCCATATTTGCTTCACATTTATTTGTTTTGCTGCTCCATTGAAATATAGATGAAGATGCGCTGGTGATAGCAGAAAATTACTACAAGGCTGAGGAAGGTGAGAAGCTTTAATCTAAAAGCAGTTTTTACTTGTCATTCAGCAAAAAAGACTAATGTATTGATTGATTGAAGGCATTTGGTATATGCACTGAAACATCTGTGAATAGTTTCATCAGGTTGGTCACTGAATTAAGACAACCAAGTACTTTGCAATGTGAACTAGTCAAAATTGCCCTGAGGAAGGTGACAGATGGTCACCCAAAATGTCGACTGAATAAAACATTTGGCAGTGTAAAAAGAGGTTATTAAATTTCATACACTGATGAAACAGATTTGAATGGTGGAGTTACCCAAATTTTTCTTGTGTTGGAAAATACATTACAGTAACTGTTCAAACCAGTTTCAGAATGTCGTCTACCAACACAGACAAACTTTCAAGCTACTTGTGTCACATTACCTCAGAGTCTACAGTATGTATGGTCATCTCACCATGTCTCTGTTTTTTGTTTTTCATTCACCAGATGAGTCGGACATGTCCACATCAGCTGTGGTCAACTCCTCCCAGTCAGAAGATAACAGTGATGCCAGTGCCCTACAGGGTGCCGACCCTGGCAGCTTTGTAGTTTGCAGCATTCCAGAGGACACAGTCAGCCAGTTTGAAGGTGCAATATGGGACCTTTGTACCTAGTAGTTTATTGAATTGAATGATGTTTCAGTCTTGTGAAGGTTTCAACAAAAATTATATTGATCAGTATATGATACAACTGTACGATATCTTTTTTTAGCAGATGCATCTGAGGAGGTAGATGCTGTACAAGACAGGTGAGATTAATTTTGTTTGGTTGTTTGTTAGTTTCACGTAACTGCATAAACCACTTGTGTTACACACCAGTTTTGTACAGTAAGTAGAGGTTGCATAAGACCAGACTTGAAGAACCCCTACTCTTTTTGATAAGTGTGGATGGGATCATCAAAATCCTTGAGGGGTGGCTCACCTCAGAGAGCTACACCAGCCATAAGAAAATCCATTCATGTAAACTGAAAGCAACTTCTTCCTTTTCAACTATGCTCTGTTTCTAATTCCTCTGTTCCGTGTAGGAAAAACAGGGAGCAGGAGTCAAGGTCCAACTCGTGGAAAAGGAAACAATCAACTCAAGGTAACATATTCAGGAAATTTGTCATTCGTCATTGAAAAATGCATTTAAACGGAATGAAACTTACATGTATTAATCCACATCTGAATTGTATTTAACTATGGCATTTGTTAAGTATTTAGAAAGTCAAAAGTGCAGGGTGAAAATTTGATTCCTTTGAACAGATTCGGAGAAGAGAACTGTGAAGACACTCATCGCACAACTCCTGCCAGGCTACAGTCTACAGCCTCTCCCCATGGCGTTGTAAGTATCATACCAAAAGTCTCCCATTTCTCATTACCTTGTTACCTCCAAGTATGGGACTTTCGTTTTTGGTGTCAAATTTGAGGTCCAAAAGATGTCCCTGCAGACTGCGATGAAGTGACAGTGGAATATGTGCAGAATCAGTGAGAAATTCCCATCAGTAAATTAAATGAAAAAGAATTGGTAACAGGTCTAAATACTTCACGTATACGGGAAATCTTCAGTTTCTTGTCTCTATTTTGTGGCATACTGTAAGCTACACACACACTATTATAATTATCTGTTGAAAATGTGTCAGGTAAATGATTTTAATCTAGTGATTGATGGTTATATTGCAGCTCCCCAGACAAACATTACCTGCTGCCAGTTTGTGAGAAGGTGCCAGTTGTTGTGTATGACCAGGAACCCAGCTCTATTATTGCATATGCCCTCAGGTAATGAATTTATAATTATTCTGCTTTGCTTTGATATGAAATATATTAGATGTATTGGAATTGCATGAAGATGGTAGTAATATAATGTTGTTTGTCATTTGCAACCAATTTGTAGTTCACGTATTGATTTTATGTTTGTGTTATATAGCCATGAAACTATGTATGTAGACCTTCTATCATCAACGTTCTGTCCTGTTTTATCTTCAGTTGTAAGGACTATGAGAGTCACAGAATGGAAGCCAAGAAGCAGTCGTCAGAAGAGAAGGATCCACTACAAGTTAGGTGAGACATGTTCCCAGTGTCATGAATTTGCAGTGGAAATGTGCAGATGTTGTCACATTGGCGCACCAAATCTGTAGTGTGTTTTGGCACACATTTAGACAGATTAGGGAAAAGAAGATGGTGTAGAGTGCCTTTCCCAAGGGCACAAAATCTCCTTGGCATGGTGAGTATCGAACCTGGGACCTATTGGTTCCAAGTCCAACACTCTCACCATTGCGCCACTGACACCACTAACAGCTAAAATAAAACTGCTGCAAAAATTTCCAACTTGACAATAATCTGTTTGTTCTTCATCCAGTGTTACTCCAGTCTCCAAACCTACCAAAGGTGGAGACAAAGTGCCAACCACGGCCTCTCTGGACTCCACACCTGAAGTGTCCGGCACCAAAGGTGTGCTGTCCTTCTTCCGAGGGAAACACACCCCTGAACAAGTCTCACCCAACACCAGGAGGAAGAAGGAGAAACAGTCGGGTAACCTGGCTGGGATGGACAGTGTACACTACAACCCTTCTTCATCAGACAAGGACTCTTTTGAAGAATCAGGTATGCCTGAACTCTCCCAGCACCAGTTTCACCCTTTAAGGACATTAGAGAGTGAAGCCTTGCCAGTGTGGACCTGCTGGACACTTTGAAACATGGTGTGAAGACTAGCTTACTGCTGCCCACCTGTGTCAGTGACCCCAGCATCAATTTAATCAAAGACTGGATAGTACTAATTTCAAGTGTGTGTCATAATGTGTCAAACCTATTTAGTGTGCATTTTTCCTATGGTTTGATAAATCTTGCAGTTGAAGTGTGTACTGTGAGAGTAAAGTGTATTGTTTCTATTGTTTGTACCTCCTTAGGTTACGATGACACAGATTTCCCATTGTTTGGCAAGGATGTACTAGAGAAGGGCAAGAAACAGGCACCGTCACCTCACATAGAGCTGCGTAAGTACTGTATAACAAGTCATGTAGGACAAACTATGACATAAGTGTTACACAGATTTCATCATCTTGAAAATACTCAGTAGCCAATCATTGACATCCTTTCTTTAAAAAAAAAGATTCATTAAAGGACGACTATTCTAATCAATTAATATTGTGAATATCTAATAGTTTTTGCCTCCTCTTTATATTTTACTCAGAGTGATCTATGGGTGTCATCACACTTCACTAAATGTACAGTTTTGCTAATAGTAAAAATCTAATGTAAAATATTGAAGGCTTTTGAATCCTTTTCCAACAGAGTTCCAAGATGACAAAGCCAAGTTCTTCTGCAGAGTTTATTACGCTGAACAGTTCCGGAAACTTCGGAAAACGATATTTCCTGACGGAGAGGAGCGCTACATCCGCTCGCTGTCTCGCTGCTTCAGTTGGACAGCAAAGGGCGGCAAGTCTGGATCAACCTTCTGTAAAACTTCAGGTATGGGTTCAGCAAGATAGCAAGTAGCTTAAAGTTTGTTTTACTTTTCATTTTAGGACTCAAAGTACTTTTGCAGCATATCTGCACTGGGGCAGGTAACATTGAAAACCTGCAACAGATATGTTTTACTTGCACCACTGACTAAAAACTTGTAAGAAACCATTGCCGTTATTATTATTATTATTTTTTTTTTTTTACACTTGGTTCAAAATGTTCCGAACCACAAATTTATTGTGAGATATAAGATGAAGGTCTTCAAGAAAGAGCAAAGCTGCTCTTCTGAATAGTCAAGAAATGAAACATTACAATGTCTGTATGGACTGTTATTTCTGCATAGTAATGTTGAAATGCTCCAATTGGTATTGTATATTGTACATTGTATATTTGTTGTTTCCACCCAGATGAACGTTTCATCCTGAAGCAGATGTCTCGACTAGAAGTGCAGTCCTTTGTAGAGTTTGCTCCACACTACTTCCAGTATATACAGAGGGCACATGCAGAACAGGTACTAAGTTTACATCAACTCCAGCTCTTACTAGTGGAATACAACACAATTCAACATTTACATTCTTTTTTTAAATACTTGTAGTAATGGTACTTAGATTTAGTCATCATCATGACATTGGTCGAAAACACAGTTTATTTAGGAAAGGTATTCCATGCTTGGAGGACAACAAACTCTTGAATCTGGAGAGCAGGTAGTTGGTCTACATGATCAACAAATTAAACAGCAGTATAACACTACTACTGTGTTTAGTTGTCTGATGTGATACACTTTTTTGCAGCACCCAACCTGTTTGGCTAAGATCTTGGGTGTGTACCGGATCGGCTACAGGAACTCCCAAACCAACGCCACACTCAAACAGGACCTGTTGGTCATCGAGAACCTCTTCTATGGCAGGAAGATGGCACAGGCAAGTAACATACATATGTAGCAAGGTTACAATTGTATATGCTGATATACAAAAGTTAGGCTTAAAGAGTTGCCTAAGAAAATATATCTGTATCTGTATCTGTATAGCCGGTATAACCGCCTTTCGGCGTAACACACCAGCTTCGCAGGCACGCGGCGCGGCGGCAGCTGGCTATATTACACCGATCGACTTGTTCCACCTAACCCTTGAACTTCTAGCTCTAGACATTGTTTAAAGCTATCTATTGACAGTGCCCCTACTGTACTTGGTGACAGTGAGTTCCACTCTGCGATAGTTCTAGGAAAGAATGAATTCTTGAACACCTCAATCCTTGGTTGATAACTCTGGTACTTGAATGCGTGGCTATTTCTTGTTCTCTTGAGGAGGCTCTGTAGAAATGACAATGAAAAGGCCTACAAGAGGAGGAAATGAGGTGCACAAGCACTCTGAATTCAAATGCAGAAAAGGCCAGCAGAAGAAAAATATATTATTCACCTCTTCAATCACATTTCCGTCATATTTCCCAATGAATCATCCAAGAATTTAGATATCCCCTGACTAAGACTTAGTCAACATTTTTCCTTCATTGGGTGATCTTGTTTCAGTTGTTAACATGTTTTTTTTTGTTTCCCCCAGGTCTTTGATTTGAAGGGGTCCATGAGAAACAGGCATGTCAACATTTCCAGCAAAGAAATGTCCTGTGACATTGTGCTACTGGATGAGAACCTTCTGAAAAGTAAGACTCTTGGTTCAAAATCTCTGTCCAAACTGGTCCCTGTTGCATTGCTAATTAGTGTCACATACATGTATTAGCCATTGATTGTAATGCCTTAAGCCATTAGTGAATTTAAGGTTCACAGTTTATAAGATTTGAGACTTTAACATTGATTGTAATGCCTTAAGCCATTAGTGAATTTAAGGTTCACAGTTTATAAGATTTGACACTTTAACATTGATTGTAATGCCTTAAGCCATTAGTGAATTTAAGGTTCACAGTTTATAAGATTTGACACTTTAACATTGATTGTAATGCCTTAAGCCATTAGTGAATTCAAGGTTCACAGTTTATAAGAAACTTCAACAATTATCATAATTATCATCATCAAAGAGTTGGGCTTCAGAAAGCATTAAGTTCCAGACTTAATTTTGCATGTCCTTTTGTATAATTATCTTAATCTGTTGCTGTATTATGACTTTTTGCACACTTCTTCTTCTTCATTCTTCCTCTATGAGGTGCAGCTAGTGAAGTTTTGTCTCCAGTACAGTCTGTCAGTCATTGTGGACGGAAGTTCTGATCCTTGCAGACCAGTTTCAGACTCAATGAGTTTCTTTTGTACACAAGCGCCTGTAAATGAATATTTGTGCCCTCACAGAGGTGCTTGATGAGCCCCTGTACATCCGGCCCCACTCTAAGACAGTTCTGACCCGAGCCATCACGTACGACACCCAGTTCCTATCCAGCCACCTGGTCATGGACTACTCCCTCCTGGTCGGCGTGGACGAGGTCACCAACGAGCTGGTCGTCGGCATTATCGGTGAGGACAGTACATTTGTACATGTAGTTCTGGAAAGATGTAACAACTGAGAAATTTGGTCACGGGAAAGATGTAATACTTGTACAGTCAAACCTGCCAAGGTGACCACCTCTTCAAGCTGGCCACCTGGCCATGGTGACCACTTTTTCTCGGTCCCAAAAATTTTCCCCATTGACGCAAGCATTAAGCCACCTGTCCAAGGTGACCACCTGGCCAACCCGACCGTTCTGAGTTGGGTCCGCTCAAGGCCTGATACCTGCCCATAGTGACCACATCATTTTCGATCATGTTGATTATTGATGATAACTAATGAGAAATCATGGAGAAACCAGCCAGTTTGCCTTGACTGCTGGATGATGTTTTTGTTTGAGGAAAATTTTTCCATGTGCTACCCTGCCCACATGCATTCACCACAGAACTGAAGATGCTTACAGCATTTGACATTAAAACATCTCGACTTGGAAACCCAAAGTCTGTACACAAGTGGTAACTGTGGATTGTTTTTCCTTACAGATTACATCCGTACCTTCACCTGGGACAAGAAGCTGGAAATGGTGGTCAAATCATCAGGGATTCTGGGTGGACAAGGTAAGTATATTATTTGCTCACTGGATTGTTTGTCTAATAGTGGAGGCCTTTTTTTTCTGTGTTTCTATGTCATGGTCTACTTTTTTTGTGACTCTCATTTACCATTAGCAATGTAAGACTGCTTGAAGAGTATCTGTAAAAACAAAGCTAAATGTTCTCAACGTTATCCTCTGTAGGTAAGATGCCGACGGTGGTGTCTCCAGAGCTGTACCGTACGCGGTTCTGTGAGGCCATGGACCGGTACTTCCTTGTCGTGCCTGACCGCTGGACTGGACTCAGCATCGGCGGGCAGTGTTAGAACAGGCTGCAATACCACGCACAGGTGCTGCAACAAACTGTTCTTCATTTGTTTGTTTGACAATGTTTGTTACAGTAACTGTAAACCACTTTTTATTCGCGATAGCAAAATTTTGTGGTCTGAGAAAAACACGACATGTTTGCAGAACTATATGTTCGTGGTGGCAGCAGGTGCAGAAGAAAGAAAGTTTGCAAATTAGTTTGTTTGCGGTAATTACGGAAGTGAACAAAAAAACGCAAATATAAAAATGCCGCGAATATAAAGCAATTTACAGAATTATGTGCGGCTGTCCTGAAACATGCAGCTGATGGAGGACTGTAACTACTTCCAGTTGTGTTCACGTTGGCATTCAGAAGGACAGCAAAGCTGGGATTTGAACCAGTGACCTTGCGATTCAGACAAGATTGCTAGCCAAACATTTTACTAGGTGACTGTACTATGTAGTACAGTACTTCAGATACATATAGGTAAACTGAAAGCAGGCCATTTTAAAAGGACTAGGACAAAAATTATAAGTCCTGGTACTGCCATAGCATGATATTGTTAAGTTCTGACATTATTCCCATTTACATGTACCACACGATACATGTGTATTTAGATCTTTGGGGGAAAATAAGACGTACATGTACTCAGAGAGAGATGGAGTGGAAGTACCCTGAAAAAGATAGGCTGAATGAATCTCATATCAATCTTGCTCATAAAATTATTTGGTAAATTCAATGAAATTCAAGCCATGTGAAACATAATCTAATCTTACAGTTTACACTTTGAAAGTTTGGCTACATAAATCTAATTGTAGACAGTGATAATGAATTAACACAGTATCAATAAGTATAAGCAATTTGTAAGCTAAACAGTGCTGCTGAAATATTAATATTGTGCCTTTCATTTTGTTCTGCTAGTATTATTTCTAGTCCTAAACTGTGCAATACCATGTATGCAAATGTATGCAGAATATCATTGTGTAATACATATGATCATGTAACTTTGTATACTGCTTAATAGCAGGAATAAGCCTTGATTGTTCAAAGTATACATATAGTTGTAAATTTCTAGTTGAAAAGACTTGAGTGTGTGGACCAAGTTACTTAGGGGCAGGCCTCCACATTTGCAGAACAGGGACCCACAAAATAGAGTTTTTTTTACTGTAACAGTGATTGCATGTGTCAGACTCAAACTAGGCATCTTCCTTTCTTCTTGAAGTCTAGTTAATTTGCATGAAGGAAAATCGTGAATTATCATGAAAGAGACATGAAAAGTTGTCAGGTGAAGTACCAGTGTGACATATTCGTAAGATCTGGCATGTTAACACCCTTAAAGGTAAATCAGAGTTTGCAGATGGTAAACAGGAAAGATTCAGGTAAATCATTTGGTACAGTTCACATTCCAAATGCAGTAGACCGATGTCACATAATACATCATGAAATTTTAGCCTATATATACTGTAATTCAGATAAAATGGTGCTTAGAAAGGCCATGGTGTAACCTGCTAAAATGTTGAACTTGTAAAATCTAGCATGAAATGGAACCCCTTAGTTAGGAGTGAACTTCTTTGCAAATGAGATAAACGAAACTTGGCCACCTAGAATTGATAATAGGGGAGATTGTTGCTTTTTAAAATATTTTTGTTGATTAAGGCTTAATATATTTATAGATAATTTTATTTCCAGGGTTGAAAATTGCTACATGTAAGATAAACCCAGAAGTCAATTTGCAATCAGTATATACTGTAGTGACAGTCTGTATGATAAGTCAAGACAACAGTCGCATGAATATGTTGCATATTTGTATTTTTTCTAACAGGTAATGTCAGTTACAAATTCATAGAAAACTGTACAAAGGCATTCAAAAGCTGTAACAATATATTGTGCCAACAGTCTTGTCTACTGTCTTTACTGATATGAACTTGTAAAACTTTAGTAACACCTTTATAAGTCTTGGCTGTAGTAGCATTAGTAAAGAACACTGTAACAGTAGCTGAGGTTTTCGATTTCAGGTAAACGTTAGGTTTTGCTGTTTGCTTTCACACTAAATATAAACAATCTCAGTGATATGTCAAAATCTCTTTGAACCATGTTCAAAACTCAGAACAAATTCTGTACATTTCACCTCTTTCTATCCACAGAAAATAATACAAAAAGTAGTAAGTAACACATAGTTTAGAAAGAAGTTTAAAAGTCATGGAAATCTCACATCGGCTTCTTGACAACAACGCATGTATGTAGCAGCAGATGACTTTAAACTTCAAATCTCAGTTGGCAGTAACACTGGCAGTAATCCTGTCAGATGTCTGACCTTAGGAATTCCCGTCAAAAAGTTAGTTACCTAAAAGCATTCACAGATGCCTGTGTGATGCCTACAAAATACACTAAAAGTGAGTCAAACAAGTGTTAGAAGAATACTGAAAATAGTATATCACATTGTGCAATATATACAATACTGTTAAGCGTAATGCTGAACTTGGAAGATACTTGGTTGTAGATCTGAATATATACAATGTATATGTGTATTTCATGTGTACAGTTCAAACTCTTATCAATATGTGCCAGGCACAGTTATTGTACCAAAACTGTGAAATCGAAAAACTTGGGACATCCCTGGGGCCATATTATTCTGGAACTGTCCACTTTAACTGTACAGAGGGACCACCAGGTCTCTGGAACTTTCCCGCATCGTGCGTTGTTCGTCCGCCTGCATCTGTGCTACCCTGGCCTCGTCCAAAAGGCTGCGGAAGGACTCCACGCTCACACGACCTTGCGGATGGCGCACGGAGGCCTGCTCCCAGAGGTCATTGAATGTCTTTTCATCCATGTCCACGCCAATGCTTTTAAAGATGTGTGCAATCTGTAACGAAAGATGCAAGTTTTAGTATCCAAAGATGAGCCGATAGTATGTGTTAGAGACATCCAAAGCAATTTCAGAGCAACAAAACAAAAACAAATATTCAGTATGAGGAAATCTGTCTGATATTGACATTTACTGCCCTTTCTTGGCACATTTTTGTACAGAAAACGTTATTTCAACTCACCTCAGTTTTGGGCCTGGCCTCGAAAAAGTCCTTTTCGTGCACGCCATGGTTGCTATAGATGCTGGGGTTGACCAGACCGTAAGCGTTGGACTCGTCACCGTAGTTCTTCCTGTCGCTCACACGTTTGATCAGCGGTGCAGGTAAGTCACTCCGTACTGTTGGGATGCCGTAAGCTCGGAAACCTGGTGGGAAAATTTCCAGTCATTTATACTGATTTATTGCACAGCAAAGACATATCATTCAACAACACTTGGATACTAGTAGTGCTATAAAATTCACCACCAAAATCATTTAGAGTGACACTTCTTTTTTTTCATCTAGTTTGTTTTGTATCAGAAAATTATGCTACTCCTTTATTAATAGGCTTACAACAGCATGATACAATGTCTTCTGAGGTCAGATTGTCAGTACAGAAATTCTTTTTATTTAAATGTATATAAGATGCTGTATGTATAGTTTGTGTTTCTAAGTTTGTACCGTAATGGTTGTTCTCTTCGGGTGAAATACCTGAAATAAAGACGTTCAAAAACAGTTGATTTGGTACAGACCTTTTGTTCCCAGGTTGACAGACCCATATATGGAGTTGGAGGTGCGGTGCTGACCAATGGCGTGGTCGATCTGCTTCATCAGTCTCTTAGGGGTGGACTCAGGTGAGAGTTCTCCTCCCTCTTCTACTGCACCTGGAGGGGAAAATTGTACAAACAAACTTTAGTATTGAGCATGGACCACTGATGTATAAGATGGTTCTTTATTCAACAACCAGTGAGGTTTTGCATCCAAGGTTTTGATGACTGTCTGTCACCTTTTTCAGGGCAGCAATGGCTGATTCTGCTTTGACACATAAATGTACAGTTACTGTACAAATCTTAGCCACCAGATGTATTGTGATAGCTTTTTTATGTTAACCTTAATGTTAACCATGATGTTATGGAGCAGTTCTTGTACTCAAACATGCAGCCATTGTTATGTAAGAAAAGGATAGAAAACGGCCAAACTTTTATCAGCACATACAGTCAGTCAGATGTGCAAAGATTGGGTGTGCCTGCATAGCTGGTGTGTGTTAAGCCAAATGGCAGTTATACCGGCTATACCGATACAGATACAGATATAGATATAGTTTAGTGAAGAAAATTTGACATTACCAGGTCATACAGTTGCTGATAACTACACTTAAAGAAAGATGACAAAACTGCCAACACTTTCTTACCTTCCAGGCTTCCTTTTCTTGCGGTGCTGAGACCACTTGGCATCTTGTCCTTCCAGTTCAAGAAGTTGGCAAACTCCTCGTAGTCGATGACGCCATCTTTGTTGACGTCGCAGTAGTTGAAGAGGAGCTCCATGAGCTCAGGTTCTATGGGGAGGCTGAACTGTGCGCAGACCTCACGCAGCTGGGCAATGGTGATCACCCCCGCTCTGTCCTGTATAGTACACACATTATTAGCAACGAGGTATGGATGTAAGGGTGGAGGGTTGATGGAGCTATCTCTAGATACTGCAATGTGAAGGTACCGTATTGACTTTTTGAGGCGATACACGGGGATGACAAACACTTTAAACCACAAGAAACTGGACAAAAAAAATGTCTTAACTCTTGGATCCTGGGACTAAACTTCTACTTAACTTCTTTATTTAAGAATAGATACGATTAATGTGATCGGATACAAACATTACAGTTTGGACATTGAATGGACGCTAACATTGCCGTTCAAAGATCCGAATAGCCGAACACACATCCATTTGAAAAAAATTTGAAAAGAAAGATTAATCTCAAGCCTAAAGAGATATGAAAACTTCAATGCCCAAAAAGTTATCACAGTTTGGGTAACAGTTTGAAAGGGAAAATGAATGTAAAGAAACCTATGCTCTTTTGGTTTGCCATGTAATGAGTACATCATCAATACCGGTATCTACTAGTATTTGTTTCAGTTTGCATTGCCATAGGTACCCACCCTATCGTAGTGTCTGAATGCGTCCAGTAGACTGTCAAAGTTGTGATAGTTGGCCTTCTTCAGGTGCTGTCGGATAGCGGCCACGATGCCCCTCTCTCTGTCACGCCCACGCAGGTACTCATTAGGTGCTCGACAGTGAATAAGGTCACCCGCACCTGTGGGGTTAGGGTAAAGTTAATATTTCTCAAATCAAAAACAACAAGGAACTTATAAAGCTCTTTTGACCAACATTTAACAGGATCTAAAGCATTTCCTAGCAGAAATACCTGGAAGTTGATAGTATACTCTTCTAAGCAAATAAGCTATCAAGCAATGAAACCATTATGATAGTTATCAAAAAGTTGAACACAGTTGCAAGTATGTGTACTTACCATATTCATCAGGCTTGACCAAAGTGCCAAATGTGTGGTCAGGTCCAACATTCAAAGTGTCTTTGATACTGAAAAGATAAGAATTAACTATTAAACTTCAGTTGCAATATGAAAATCTAAATGTACATGTAGGTTAACTAGTATTCACATTGAATGAGAATTGTTGAAATGAATGGAAAAAGGGGGATCAAAAGTACTGTTATTGTCAAAAGAAAGCCGTAATAAATCTATGATGTTTATATTCTTAACATTACGTATATACACAACACTTACGGGTCATGAACCATTGCCAGCTGAGGCTGTGTGCGTTCCCTGAAGTCATCCACTCTTTTGGACACAATCTTGGTGGCTCTCTCACTGGAAAATTAAACAAAACCATGTTAAAGCACTATCATCACATAAACATGTACTTAGTCTACTATACTAGTAGCAACCACAAAAAAATTCATCTGAAAAAATGTGCAAGCATATTGCCACTGCATTAATAATTTTCATTTCAACAGCTATCAAAAGAGAACTACTTGTAGCTTTTACATTCGATTTTAATGACATGATATTGAAAGGTGTAGTATTTTCCACTAAAAAGCAACTGCTTTCTCACCTTTCCACATCGTGCAGCCACTTCAGAGTCTTTCTCACGTTGCGTCCGTCGACATCGTGTGGTGTCTCCACACCAAACATGCTGGTCTTGGGGATCTTACTCCAGTCGTACTTGCGGTCGTAGCTCTCACCAACATCATAATCTGAGTGGGAGAGCTTGTACAGGTCCTTTCCTACCAGATCCTCCTCCTTGACTTTTCGCCAGGACTTTGGGGGGTTGACAAGTTCTGTTGCTGTGTAGTCTGTGGAAACAGCAAGAACTTTTAGCATTTGTTGTACCTGAAATTGCTACTAAGTAAAGTTGCTTTTCAAAATCACAGCTTTTGCAATCAGTTGGTCAAGTGTACTATGGCACAAGTAAGCACGGTTTAAGATACTCTTGGTGACAAGGATTTTCTGTCAAAGTTTGACATAAAACAATAAGTCAACATCTGAATGGTATAACAGGCAGAACATTACATACTAACACAATATGTATCAAGCAACTAGATAATTATATTCTCAGGAGAGTCAATAGTGACTGTAACATTTTGTGTTTTTCTCTTCTCACCTTTTAATGTCTTGACCCCACAGGTGGTTGTCTCTGGTTGGAACCAGGAGGGTATGTTGGGGGTTTGGTCGTGTGTTCTCCCCAGGGGAGCCTTCTGATGGCTGGAGTACAGGGATTCACGCTTGTCCAGTAGTCTATGCTGGAACAGTGTCTTTGGCCACGGGTTGGTCAGCTGCCCAGCCTATGGAGCAAGTTCCAGTTTAAATTCTGGTATTCAAACAGTTGTTATAGATGCTACAAAACCACTCAATTCATTGATACATTTTCTTAAAAAACAACAAATGGAATTGTTGGATTGGTCCATTTGCCACACTTAAATTGATGATATCCAAACAATATAAAACTACATTGTATCTTTCACAGGTGGTTGTTATAGATGCCTCAAAAGCACTCAACTTATTCATACATCTTGTTAAACAACAATAATGGAAAAGTTCAATCTATACTTAGGAAAAGTTCATTCTATACTATTACTAATACTATACTATACATCTGTAGGTAAAGCTGAATTTATGCCTTAAAGTAAACCCCTGAAGGGACATATGAGACACTGTTTTGTCATGGTTTGTGGCATCACCCGGGTCACATGACGTACCGTGAGTGAGGGCTTTGTGCTGAGGCCGTGTCTCATCTCCGCTGCCCGCGTCAGAAACTCATCGCCCGCCTTTCCGTAGAAAACCCTCGTCATACCCGCCTCCGGACGGGTCGTGTTGATGTACTTCTTTACCACCTTTGGTGTCCGAACCTATATTAAAAAAAAGGACCATAAACAAAAATTGTTCCAACTTTTATAACAGCTTTCCCATTTCAGAATACAAAACCTCCAGTCATTTAAAACAAGAGAACATTGGCATGTTCTTTCCACTATCAAGACTTCTACATGTAGCTAGAACCTTGTAATTGCTGTACCAATGCTTAGCCAGTATGTTATTGTAATGTTCCAACCCAGGCTATTGTTAACGTTACCACATTATGAAGAAAAAAATCAGGCTGTTTCCATGAAATTTTAGACTGAGAGAAAGCTGGTTTTCCCTATAGTATAAAACAGTCAGTATGAATGTATAATAAGATTTTCTTATGAAAGATATTTCTGTATTCTATACCTACAGTCCATGAGCACATTTTATCCTGCAAAACATGCACTAGAACATGACTGCTATTACAGTTTATGTTTTAACTACTTGACGTTTATATTTTAATATATTGCTCACTTGTGCTTGTAATAACTAAACAATGCATAAGGGCCATTTATAGATTTGAACAGCTGGGAAAGAGAGGGTTTACTCATAAATGTCCTTTGTTTTTCAAGGACCCTCGAAATTTCACATTAGGGGCTATCAGTGTCTCCTAGTTGGTCGTGTGTGACATTTCAATTTTACACACAATGAGCCAAGGGAAAGGTAGCAGAAAAAGGGCCATATAAGATTTCTCACCCTGTTTTCACAACCTGTATAAAGTTTCTAAACAAATCTGATTGAGTTTCATTGACACAGTCTGGTGTATAATGGTTTGTTTACACAATGCTTATCAACCAATATTTGTGTAAATTTTCCAGAAAATTTCCCCAGTGCTTTAGCCCTTTCTATATCAAAAATTGCATGTATTCACGTAATTTGTAAGTTGGTTGTTAGAATTTGGATGTTACTAAGACCAAGTTTTCAACTGTTTACTTAGTTCTTTGCTAAGGTAGTTTGTTTTGGGACAACAACGTCACCCTTCTCTAATCAGCACTGAAAATCTTCACAATGGCTTCAAATAATGCTCTTATTAAGTGTGGAAACTTCGTAGTTGTCAAGACTGAACTCATCTATAGAAAGATTTTCAATGTAATACCATTAACAGTGAAATCCTAGGCAACACGAAGCTGGTTACTTGCATGTTGTCAATGTAAACAATGTAAAAGTACTTACTCGAGAAGGGGGAGGTTCCAAGCAGTCTCTTGCAGTTCCACCCATCGGCCATAACTTCCCAGCCTGTACAGGGAAAAAGAAGAAAGAAAATATAATTTCTTAGCTAAAAGTTACGTCTTAAAAAGGTTACTAAGACAAGATTTTGCTAAGTACACTGAGTTGGTCAACATATGCCACGTAACGTACATAGGATAATATATAGCAACAGCTGTTTGCAAAACAAGAGTGTAACATTAATTGTTAGTTTTAATGCACATATTGTGATTTATTACGCCAAGTTCAGTTTTTAGAATGATTAAGCTACGACTTTGTGATCGTTACAGGGTGGAATAGTTTGTAAAACATGAACAGCTGTCTATGTTGTACTTGTTTGGATCAGTTTACGGATAACGTTACACCGTTGCCTAACTAACTCTGAATCTCTGGTAAATAGTTGATAACGGTTTGATATTACTGATAAATCTAGACTAGAGGCAAAGATAAATACATAAAGTTAGAGATGATAATAAAATCCCAGATGGGTTTGAAAGATCATGTTGGAAAAATAGCTTACCGCGCTGATGTCAGGGTTCCTGTCTCGAAACCGTCCTGTGTTGCTCACCAACATTGTCGCTACACGTGGATTTTTCCCGCCACCTGGTTCAATCGAACGATTTTCAACCTGTTGCCGCAATTAAATGCTTTAGACGGCGCCTGTCGCTTGTCGTTGAAAAGGCCAACCTGCTCGTTCACTGTGGTTAATCCAACTGTTGCTCTGCCGGGCTTCGCACGCTTGGGGGAATGAATGAACCAAGGCAACCATAACATAGCGTCCCCCGGTACATAGCAACCGCTGGTCAAAGGTCAACAAACTATGACGACACACTTCTTGTCGTTACTCGAAAGGTTTTCGACTTTTCCCTCCAATTTGTAGGCTTTTGTATAACAGAGTGTGTAAAATAAACTTTTATTTGAGTGTTTTGAATTATTTTACGGAAAATATCTGTTGGTCTCGCGAGATTTTTGGGGTGTTTCCATCCATGACGTCACCTGGAAATACCGTCGGGTTTCTCGGGTTGTTTGGCAGGGGCGCCAATGTGCGGAGTAATATAAGTAGATGACATCACATCCTTACAGAAAATAGGGCATAAGATATTACGCATCTAAAACCTTGAATCGTCTCTTAAATTTATATCTTTTATAAAGAAAGCTTACGGTTGTAGTTTGGGTTGATATTTTTTATCGTTTGTTGTGTTATAACGAAGTTTAATTGTTTTACGTGTCGCGGAGGGATACAGCAATTAGCAGCTCGTCAGGAAGTCACGAGATCGTGCAGGCTGTGGAGGTTGTGTTGAAGTGTGTCACTCCAATACTTTTGGCGAAAATTTAACGTCGTCTGATCCCGTGCACACCGACATTTCAGTTCGGACTATTCTAAAGGGTATGTAGAATCGGTATTCCTTGTTAAAACGGTCCTAACGATTGTAGTTAGGACGATATTGTCCGCGGAAGTTGAGGTGGTCTGAGGCACTTGATTTCCAAAATGGCGTCTTCCGTGACTATGAAAGCTTCGATGTCTCTCATATTTGTGGCCGTAATCGTAACTAAAATATGATATACGAACAATCGTGAGATTTTTCGCTAGTAGATTTGTGTGAATCTAGGTCATGAGGAGTATGTTATTGTCCTTATTAGGGTGTAGTATCGGTACATGACACAGCATGGCACTGGGAACCCCGAGTAGACAGTGACGTAACTTTATTTACTTCCTGCCCGAAGACAAGATAGGGGCGTTTCCTCGAAATTTAAAGGAAGGACGCGAAGATCTCAAGAAGTTACAAAGCTCGAGAAAGTTTCCTCAAGCCATGGCGTTGTTGCTGATTTGTCAGAAGGTATTGTTGTGTTCATGAGACATGTTGACATGTACCAAATTATACAGGATATCACATGTATACTAAATTATAAATGTGTGGTAGAGTCTGATGACAAACAGCTGATATGTTTCTTGGCGTCAAACTTCGACTTTGTTGACAGAATGAGTCAGAGATGTGACATAACTGTGCTTTTTTTCTTGACTACGAAAGAAAAAAAGACTTGTTCAGAGATCACATCTGTCCATCATTCATAGGGTTATACTTAAGAAAAACTATGTGGTTAATGGTTGTAATCAATTTTACAAGTTTTACTTTTAGTCAAGTTGGTACTAGGTAGTAACAAAAAGAAGTTGATAACACTACTAACATGACAATGGCTGTTTCTTCCATGTGATAATGTTTGTTTGGTGACAGAAACATATCAGGTGACTTAGGGTCATGTATATGCATCAGCATGATCATGATGGGAGTGCAAAAGTTTAAAGCAAACAAGTTCGGCTAGTGTTGAACTGGAAAAGAGATGGGCCAAATAATTAATGCGCATCTCATCAATGACCTGGAGATATATTTTTTACTTTTCTTTGCAAAGGGTTTACAGATAACTGATGTGGTATCTGTCATGATAATCAAATGTATGTTCATGGTTAGTTTGTGTCATAAGCAGACTTATTAAACGTACATACATAAGTTATTTAGCAACATGTATAAAATGTATTTGGGGTACGATCATCCTTTTTTTATGTGCTGTAGGTAAAAAAATGTGTACAAAAATTTGAGATCACCTTGTACCTGTAAGGTCAAGCAAGGAGACAACAGAATTCAACTCAAGGTTAGGGTAGTGAAGGACAGGGTTGGCAGCATTCCATGCATTGTTATTCTCTTCACAACAGCATGGCTTCCTAGAAGAAAGGAAGCGTTGCACAAGGATGGCAAGATTGTTTATTGCACTTGTTGCCAAGTATGTTATTCGATGTTAATCTTTTTCCAAGTAAAAGGCACATAATCATGAAAATGAGAAATAGTGAGTGATCCATGGAATGATCGATTAGCTGAATTAATGTGTAACCTGCTATTTGAGGATGGGGTTTTGTGTGCATGAAAAATTTGCACATGAAAAGAGGTAGTACTCTTGGATTTGGACTTCTGGAAATTGACATACAGAAAAGAATAGTCCAATCCAATCAATACATTCCACTGTACATTCATTGATGTTGGAACAAGGATATCTATAGAGCCTGACATTCCCTTTGGAACGAAATCCAAACCACATAGCACACAGCTGACAACTTTTGGCATCTGATCATGACTGACGCTCCAGTGAGTGTTGTATAGGATAACAGACAAAAGTGGGAGTGGCTTATTAGCATTCCATAGACCAGACACATTTCTATGTGTAGAGTAGACTCAGAACTATGTCCTATGCTGCTACTCTTGGTTCTTGTTTTGAAGTATTTCGTTAGCACTGCCCATATAGAGTGTATGCTAGGGATGGAATTTTCTGATTTAAATTCGTCTGACTTTTGTGAGAATACAGGACTCTAAAAGTATTGTTTGTCACCATTAGAATAGATGACATTTCTATACATCAGATTTCAATATTAGTTGGTGTTGATGCACTCTGCCGGCCAAACTGAGACAACTATTACATTGCCATCAATTGATCTGTGTCCACAGGGAAAATGTAAATGGATCAGGGAATGGAGCGTTATTGAGTGGTTAGCCAAGCAGTAGATGTTTGCACCTGCAATTTGATGGGATATGTTTTCATTTGGCCATAAGTCAATTACAGCTCCTTGTTGTGGGAAGAAAGCTGTGGCTTCTCAGAGGTGTGCTGTTGTGAAATGAAATCAATACTCAACACTTATTAGTTTTCCACTTCAGTGTCTACAGTGCATGTTATGAAGAATCATGACAGAATATCGGTGATTTTCAGGACAAGTTATTAAAGTCTACAGCATGTGTGTTGTAAAGAATGTGTTGACAGCCCCTCCACAGAGTATGGTGACTGAATCTACAAGTCTACTACATGTGGTTACGAAGAATGTTAAATTAACAGAATATCAGTGACTTTCAGGATAAGTAATTTAAATGCAATTTTCTTCTGTTGTTACAGGTGTGATTTTGGTTGTGCTGTAAGAGAACTAGAGCTTTGGGATGGCGGCCAGAGGGGCCCAGAGGCCAAACGGTACCCAGGGGAAGATTTGTCAGTTCAAACTGGTGCTGTTGGGAGAGTCGGCGGTCGGAAAGTCCAGTCTGGTCCTGCGCTTTGTCAAAGGGCAGTTTCACGAATACCAAGAAAGCACAATTGGAGGTAGGTCTTAAGCCTGCTGCAATCCTTTTGGTTGATATTACTGTGGTATGAAAGAGTACCCTTTGCATATGTTTTCATGCTGTACATGTAATTGCATCAGTGTTAATATATAAATTACCAATGAGAAGCCTCCATTTCCCATCAGTTATCAGGCTGTAACATCGTAAGTGGTGAATAATGAAAAAAATGGTCGATTATAAGAATATCCGACCACTTTCTGGACTGTACCATTTTACAGGGGGCAGAACACATAACAGTAGTGTAAGACAAAGTATTTATGTATTAAACTACGTATTGTAGTTCATTCAGTGGTTATCACACCTGACCAGAAATTATCTCACCATATAAACCCCAGGGTGGGGCATTAACCCTTAACAATGTCTGTTTCATCCTTGTGCAGCTGCGTTCCTAACTCAGACGGTATGTCTGGACGACACAACGGTGAAGTTTGAGATCTGGGACACAGCAGGCCAGGAGCGGTATCACAGCCTGGCCCCCATGTACTACAGAGGCGCGCAGGCCGCCATCGTTGTCTATGACATTACCAACCAAGTACGTCTGCACGGCTGCCATGCTGTCTCACACGCCTTTTCATTTGCTGCTTTTTTTTAATAACCAAGCATGAGTAATGTGGCCATTTTTGCAGAAAAGGTTATGCAATACTGACTTTTTTTAAGTTGGACAATTTTAGGGTTCTGCATGTACAAATTATTATACTCGCTGCTCCCACCATGGTCTCTTCTATGGTACACATACATGTAGTACTTGATAGTATCTCCAGTGCTTGGTAACATCTTTGAAACTTATGCTAGAATGTTGAGTTATAGAGACTTGCACTGTGGTAGGTGAATGGCTATGTAAAGATATTCTGCTTGTGCTTGGCTGTTTCCCTCTGGGTGTTTTTGTTGGTGGATTGATGTTGTGTGCGTTTGTTTGCATGTCACGACTTGCAGGAGTCCTTTAACCGTGCAAAAACATGGGTGCGAGAACTGCAGAGACAAGCCAGCCCCAACATAGTAATAGCACTGGCCGGCAACAAGGCCGATCTTGCCAACAAGAGAATGATTGAGATGGAGGTGGGTGGAGGGCTGTGTTACCGTCCCGGGCTGTTCCATGGAGTGCAGGGGAGTCTGCAAAGATGTGCATCCAAAATAGTCCTTTGGCAAAGTTTTATACTGTTTGGGTTAATAACTTTATTGAGTAGCATATTGAAACCTGAGCCCAAACTCACATCACTTCTTTACTAGCCCAACAGCTACCTATCGTCCAAAATTCGTGACTCTAGCATGTCCAGATCATCAGAACTGGAAATTCAGTTGCATTACCATAACAAGCCACCAGGTGGCCCAAAGTCTAATTAAAAGAGAAAGAAAGGCTCCACCCCTGAGCTATTGCCAAAAAGCCACATAGATTGTTTTGGACTGTACAGTTGCACTTCCCTGTTTCACTCCGCCGGAGCAGCCCGTAGTAGATAGAGAAAGCAGTGGTCAGATTCCATGTTGTTCTCGCCTAGGACACATTTGAGAGGGCAAAAAATTGGGTGAAGGAACTGCAGAGACAAGCCAGTCCCAACATCGTAATAGCGCTGTCTGGCAACAAGGCCGACCTCGCTAACAAGCGAATGGTTGAGTACGAGGTAAGGACGCCTGTGTCCGTTACCGCTCATGTGAGTCCTGCGGTGTGCCTTTCTCACCACTCGGCCGTCTTGTGTTTAACTTCTGGGTGTACAGTAGGTACAAGGGCTGTCATGTAGTAGACCCTTCTGCATGGCTTCCTCCTTATTATGTACTGCTGAAATTTCACTGAAAGTAAAACTGGTTTGTGGAAAAGCTTTAGACACCTGTCATGTGTGCTGATTTGCCAACAGGAAAGGCTGATCTTTTAAAGATTCATAAAAAAAAAGATCTGTTGTTGCATGGCATTAAATTTGCACAAACTGTTCCTTTACATGTTTTCAATCCTTTCATGAAAAGTAGTTCTTTAAAAGTGTAGTGCCTTGTGTCTACCACTATGTATGTACTGTTGGTATTTATACATAGTAGTATGCATAGTCTATGTATACATGTAGTAGTGCTGTACATAGGAAAAGTAAGTTGAAGACCAATAGGGGAAAGTGTTTTCATCATGCACAAACAGTGTGAAGCGATGACTTGCTAATAATTTGTGCTGACTCATTTGCAGGAGGCCCAAGCATATGCAGAGGACAACAGTTTATTGTTTATGGAAACTTCTGCAAAAACGGCAATGAACGTAAATGACATCTTCTTGGCAATAGGTAAGTAAGATTTTTTTCCCCTCCATTTTTTGTTTGAGGAAACTGCTCTTCATTGCTACAATGTTGGGGTATGCTAGGAACGGTAAAGGACTAGTTGTTCATGTTCTGTTCTGTTGTGTTCTGTTCTGTTCAGCCAAGAAACTTCCCAAGAATGAGCCTGCTGGCGGCGCGGGGAACCAGGCACAGGGGCGGCGGGTAGATCTCAAGGAAACAGGGAACCAACAGGCTACCAGCACTTGCTGCAAGTGATGGCACAACCACGAGAACAGCACCACCCAACTCCCCGTATTTTCTACCCCAAAATACTCGTTCCCAAACACACCCTCTTGTCCCCTCCCACTCCTTTTTACCCACCCTGCCGGCTCTCTGAGGTTTCTGCGTCTTCATGTGTCGTTATCTTCAATGTCATCCATTTCATCATATGTTAGTCCTGCTGCATGTACAAATGGTAGCTCAAACTATGCTTTGTAAATCAAAACAAAATATGGTGTGGGGAAAGGCAGATTTCTTTTTCTATTATAAGCAAGGTGTATGTAATATTATTCTAGCACCGTTTTGTTTTTTAAGCTTTCCAGTACCATTGTAGATACAGAGTCCTTGCATAATGACGTAAGTGGCAATGTACAGGTGTAATCGCTAGGAGAAACTGACAGAAATTGATGCTATGAAAAAAAGTTGATAGTGAAAAATGAAAACGTCTGGGGTTATGCATTTGTTAAGGCAATCATGGGGTTGTATCATTCATGAATTAGAAATGCTTTGAAAGGACAATTTAACTGTACAACCAAACTTTAAAAAAATAATATAACATGATGTTGTCACCAATTGAATTAAATTGCCCTGCAGAAGAAATTAAACATTGCCATGGAAGCTTTTTCAAAGTACGCACTGGTTGGACATTTTGTACTCTGCCTAGCTCTTCATTTTTATTCAAACCTATTATAGTTGGTGCCTTTATGTAGTGACATGCATTCCTCTCTGAACCGGCTTGTATTATCAACTTCTTCACCCTATCTAAACACGAACATTGTAAATATGAACAGTGTATGCTTTTTCAATGTTGAAGTCTTCTACTCTTATGCTGGCTTGTATGCTATAATCGCCTCTCAGACAACCGTAGTACACTAGAGTTCACATTGGATAAAGGGGGTGGGGGGAGGTACAGTAATGTCTAGGTCTGTCTTTTCTGCTGAATATATCATTGGTACTCGTCAAAAGATTTTTAGTCGTAAAAAAATTTCTCATGGAACCAAACAAAGAAGTTACAGGAGTCACACTTTGTTACAGTGGTAACAAGTGTTTTCTCTAGGAAATAAAGACTAAAAATATGTAATTGCAGATGATTTACCCATCAGTGTAACAGTACAGAATCAAGGTATTTCTATAAGTGTCTATGTTGGTGTGAATCCTGCATTATCTTAACTGTACAAGTGAGACTTTGGCTACATTATTGTAAAGCTTTAATGATGACTTCCTTTTCCCCTAAATACTGACATAGTCATGTATGAATTTAATTCTGTTGTACATTAAATACACAGACCAATATATGTAGAGAAAGGACACAAAAATGTGTGAGGGTTATATTGTTGATTATTTAAAGTCTACCTTCCCAAGAACAACCTGTCAAATCGTGGTTTGGTGAAGAATTATAGTGGTGAAGTCTTTACACATCACAGAAAGTTTGAAAAGAGTTCCAAGACTGCAACACAAATGGAAAGAATTAAGATTTGCTGTATGCAAATGTTACCTTTTTCTATGCTGTTGTTATATGGGTCCCTCCAATAATGTACAGGAGCCCATTGGCTACTTCATTTATTTACCATTCCCTATTTGTTTGAGGTGTTGCTGAAAAGATGTATTTAGAAACTTGTAGTATAATTAAACTGTATAAATTTTTGGGCTTTTATTCAATTTCCTCATAATGTATTCAAGGGTATTGAATAAGTCTACTGAGGGTTGGACATTTTGGAGGAATTAACAAAGGTATTAATAAAGCTTGTACAAGTTAAACTGTAACTGTAGGAGCAATCATTGATATTTGTGCAAGTCAGTATTTGTGTTAGGGCCTGGGAGGGAAATAAAAACCACATTTGTATGAAAGTTGGTATTTGTGACTACTTGGCCACCTCCACAATTGAACAGTAACTATTATACTGGAGATAAAAGAGTGTGAAGAAGGACAAATAGCATGGAGCCCTGACAGCAAAATATAGGAGCCTTTGCCCTAATTTAGGACAACCCCTAGATTTAAAGGCATCCAGTGCAGTTTTTTGGGCTGACATACCCAATATTTCAAATATTCTAGTCATTAATCAACATACTGAGTTGAAACTACACTATCTCAATGTATATTGTCCCTCATGGAGCAAAAATTCAGACGGAAAATGGTTGCTGGAAGGATCCTGGGCTGATTTTTAGGGTACCATCTTCAGGCTTATTTGCCGAAAGCATGAAGTACTGATTCAAATGTGCTAATTGGTAGCACTATGTGTCAATATCACAAAGATTGCCTTCTTCAGAATATTTCGTTTTGCTGCCCTGAAATCACAGTATGTTAAGGGAGTCATATAATACTTAAGATTTCCAAGATTTTCACCAAACTAATGCTCAGAATCACACAAGTGATAAACCTCACCAGATAAGACCTGACTGGACTTTATTGTACCATTACAGCTCTGGCAGTTAGTTGATATGAACATTATGTGATCAGGTGCCAGTTACCAGAAGGTGACATGACTCAAGTTCATACTACACAATTTTACAAAAACAATGCAAACTGCTCACCAGGCCTTTACAGTCACACTTATTGGTGCAAGAAATTAGACAACATCTGTTCATATATATAGTTGTTAAAGCCAGTAGTTTTGTCTCTCAATTTACACGTCTTTTATTTAGTCTACTGTCAAAATTGCAAAATCTTTCAATTGATAGATTGGCACAACGATGTTGCCTTTTTATGTCTCCCCATTTTACACCTCACAGTCCAACAAGATTCACTAGAAGGTTAGTATTCATGATTCCAAGTGCTCTTGGATGGATATCAGGACTTCATAACATACTGAGTAATGGCCAACTGCAAAAAATCACACAAGTGATATGGCTATTTTACAAAACGACTCTTCATGAAATCACATAGTGTTTGCTGTTGTTGCATCGTAAATATATCAATGTGGAAATTTTGTGCAATTTCACAACTGAAATCTAACTATGGCTACATGTATCAGTACATGTACAGGCAATTCTCAACAAATGTTTTTACTTCAATCCAGAAGTTCTTGTACATTTAGCTTATTTTCAAGTTCAAATCTTGCAGCCAGGTAGCAGCACCACCATGACAGTGATGTTGTCCTTAGACCCTGCCAGTAAGGCACTCTGCACCAGTCTCTCAGCCATCAGTTTAGCCAGGTTACAGTACATCTCTCTCTTGGTCGGCATGCAAGTCAGCTCGGACTGGGTGTATATGGCTGGGTAGTTCTGTATGGGTTTCTGCGACTCAACTTCTGACTTCTGGTCACCAAAATCAGCTTCCAGAATCTTGATGTTCTCTGATATGACACTACCAACCTCTACCTCTTCATCGTCAAATTTTTCCTGATTCTGTCCTTGCTCCAGAGATTTACTCACGATGTCCAGTTTCTCCTCTAGTTTAGCTCTCTCCTTTTCATCTTTTTTGTCATCTTTCTTTCCCTCATTTCCCTTCTCTGCTGTCTTGTCTACATCCCGTGGAGTGTGGAGTTTGACGGACAGCGCGGTCTGTGCTCTTGCCCCTCCCCTCTGTGAGCGGTCCGTCTTCCCCCCTCCTCTGTTCAGGGCATGGTTGTCCCCTATCATTGGCTTGTTGCTCCCAGCGAAGGAACTCTGTCCGTTCCAGCGACTGCCGCCATGTATGGAGATGGGGGGCTGGTCGCTTGGCGGTGGGATCTCCTGTCCAGGCACCATCTGTAGAAGGAGGGACACAGCTTCCTTGTCCGAGAGAACCTCCCAAACCCCGTTTGATGCAAGAATCAGGAACTGTGCGTACTGGTCTATCGAGACGCACGTCGTGAATGGCTCATTCAGCACACATTTCTTGATGTTTACATCGCCGTGGTTACCGAGCCCCCTGGTCGTTGCCATGGTGCCAAAGATGCGGCCGTGTTTCTTGCTGCCGGTGATGGTGCCCCCGGTGCGTACGACGCGGCTGCGCTCGTGGGGGTTGGACGTGGTGTGGTCCATGGTGATGCGATAGGTTTTGCCATCACGACACAACACAGCATGGGTGTTACCTGTAATGTAAGCAGAACATGATATAAAAATTGTGTCTTGAAATTGCATTGCCCAATAATAAGTGTTGCCTAATACCACTGTTGATACCATAGATGGAAGGGTTACATTGCATTATATAGTGATGGAACAATGCTTTTACGTAATGAATACCATACCGGTAGCAGACTTCAGTGATAGCTTGATTTCAAAGAATGATACTGTATGTGTTAGCCTGGGTACCATCCTGGTTAGTTTACGTCCGCTCCTACAGTCGCTACC